GTGCACTGCACAAATCTGGCCTTTATGGAAGAGTGGCAAGAAGAAAGCCATTTCTCAAAGATATCCATAAAAAGTCTCGTTTAAAGTTTGCCACAAGCCACCTGGGAGACACACCAAACATGTGGAAGAAGGTGCTCTGCTCAGATGAAACCAAAATCGAACTTTTTGGCCACAATGCAAAACGATATGTTTGGCGTAAAAGCAACACAGCTCATCACCCTGAACACACCATCCCCACTGTCAAACATGGTGGTGGCAGCATCATGCTTTGGGACAATGATCCAAAACATAAAGCCAAATCTACAATGGAATGGTTCACAAATAGACGTATCCAGGTGTTAGAATGGCCAAGTCAAAGTCCAGACCTGAATCCAATCGAGAATCTGTGGAAAGAGCTGAAGGCTGCTGTTCACAAACGCTCTCCATCCAACCTCACTGAGCTCGAGCTGTTTTGCAAGGAAGAATGGGAAAGAATTCCAGTCTCTCGATGTGCAAAACTGATGGAGACATACCACAAGCGACTTGCAGCTGTAATTGCAGCAAAAGGTGGCGCTACAAAGTATTAGCGCAAGGGGCCGAATAATATTGCACGCCCCACTTTTCAGTTTTTTATTTGTTAAAAAAGTTTACATTATCCAATAAATTTTGTTCCACTTCACGATTGTGTCCAGCTTGTTGTTGATTCTTGACAAAAAAAAATATTTCGCAAGGCAACGTATGTTCTGTGTGGGTTTTGCATGTTCTCCCTGTGTTGACGAAGGTTTCCTCCATGCGTTCTGGTTTCCCCTACCACTAAAAAAAATGTATAAAAAGGGCCCAAACTCTCCTTAAGTAAAAGTTCTGAATCTCAGTGGGACTATCCTGGTTTAACAGACAAGAATCATGAGTGTAGAGTATTACTTTACTAGTGCAACGATTGTGCGATCCTTAAGTTTGTTTTATCATTTCATATTTATGAGAGCTGCAGAAGAATGCTACTATAGTGTAATATGACTCTATGGAGCTGCAGAGTGCATCGAAACAATATCCTGATGCAGAGACTGATGCTGGTCTCAGTGGAATCCAAATCTTACTTACGTGAAATCTGCCTTTTGTACGCTCTGGAATAAAGAAAACCTGTGATTTATGAGACTCTATGGGTACAATTGTCAAAGTACTACTAAAATTTGATTATTTTGTCAAAGTGTATGTCTATGTTTTTGATCAACGATTTGGAGTAAAAATAGAGAAACGAGGAAAGGAAGGAAAGTGTTGCAGGGACTTGTACAATGGCCCTGATTTATCCAAACATAAAGCTTCAGTCATGTATTTGGCCACGTCAGAGTTCAAGTGAAAACACTGGTCAACACTGGTCTCACTGTGGCGTCCACTGACCACTGCTGTTTCTGCCCATGTTTAGACTTTCTGTATTTAGACACTATCCCACACATTCCTCTCACTGGGGGGATTCTGACTGTAGAAGAGCGCTGGTATCATCCTTACTGTACTCTTTTAATTAGGGCTGCAGGATCAATCACTGATATCAAAATTACAATTATAGTAGCAGTAATGTCAGATATGTTTGAACATTTGTCAAAAAGTTGTATTCCTGTAGTTACAATCTTCAACATGATTTGTTATTGGGAGTACATTTGAAATAATTCGCTCAAGAATGGGTAAAAATGTATTTGTATGGCACTAAAATGTATCTGGCTTTTCAAAAAACTACTTTTTGTTTTTGCAAATTAACTATTCAAATGTCCATTCTTGTCACACATCATACAAATCGGTGTATTCCTGTGAATAGAGATTAATCGCAGGTTTAGATACTGCACAAGAATCACTGCACCATGTCCAAAAGTAAGTCATAAATAATAATATATTAATGAATAATATAAACATACACATTTGAGTACATGGGAAATGTTATTTTAACAATGAAGGCATCATTAAACCAAGTTATGTTTTTTTTTTTTTTTTTTTTTTCATTTAGAAGAGAACATAAATATGAACTTTGATCATTATCCTACAGACAAAACTGGATTGCAGTGTTATCTGACAAATCACAATTGAACATATTGTTATACTGCATTAGAGATATACATTAAATTAGATAATTATTTAGGAAACTATTTGAAAATGTGTAAAGAAGTCGTGGGTCACTATTATTATCTTGAATTTGCTCAATTGTAATAAGTTTATAAAGTTGGAATACATGTTTTCACCCCTGCAGCAGCGTCAGAAATAATCCTTGTCTCTGTACCGTTGCAAGTTAGACATACTTTCTGAACAGTTCAAATACATTATAGCCAAACCACCATCTTGTTTCCAAACTAACCATTCTTTTTGATTCATTTCTTTAGAGGTCTCAATCTCGGTCTAGTGCTAATAAAATAGTGTTAATCTGATTCTAATGGCTCCCTTTTATGTCTTGGTGAAGGACTTGGCTGACCGTGCTGGCAGGTGACCGTCAATCTCACTGAAACGTCTCAATCACTCAGACGTCTCAGTCATTCAGAACTTTACAATAAGCAATCATTCAGAAGATCGAAGGTATCGCTTATAGGCTCATAAGAAAAGTCCTGAGGTAATTGTAGTAGAATAACGGTGGAAACATTAAGATGGGGAAAGCTAGCATTCTTTTCTCACAGCAATAAGTTAGTAAAAATGATTTATATACAGATGACTCCTTTCACAGACCGACTCACAGTTTACAATTGCTGTGGCCATTTTTCCTCTACCATACAGGATGTGCATGTTTTTAGTGATAGGGGAAACAGGAGCAACCGGAGGAAACTTATGCAGACACAGTGAGAACATGCAATCTCCACAAAGAAAGGCTTTGTCTGGAGGTGGAATTGAACCCAGGTCCTTCTTGGAGTAAAGAAAAAGCGCCGTTTTCTCCAGGTGCTCCGGTTTATGTTCCCCATGGAGTCCCCTGAAAAAGAGGTGCTGAAATCTCACTGGGACTTTCTTGTTAAACAGAGGTCAATAATTGTCTCATGTTATGTTTAAAGTCTTGTATCGTTTCGTATTATGACTGTGGCGCAGATATGACGTCCTCTTTGAATCGGCCTTGTCCTGTAGTGGGCCTACATTGGTGACATATTTGGGATTATTTTTAGGTGACACTTGTTGTACACGCCCTCTCTCTCTCTTTCTCTCTCCCTCTCTATAATGATGTTGTTTATGCCTATGCCCCATGACCTCACCATCACCAGCCCCACTGCTATGAGCCATTGTTCAGGACAAAAACAACTGAACAATCCCCTCTCTACTACTTTTGTTTTACTGTGAGGACAAGTACTTTAGTTTCATGATGTATCTTTTGGAAATCTCTACACGCAAAAAAAGTAAAGATGCACAAATTGGTTGGAGGCTGGATGACTGGAAATATTGAATTCATCAATGTTGAGTCTCTATCACAGTAAGAATATATAATGCAATTAACACTTTGACACACACACACACACACACACATGTAAATATACACACACACACACACACACATGTAAATATCCGCACTGTTGTCTGTCTTATTTGTATTTCTCTGTACTGTACATCTGCACTTCTATTTTATGACAATCAAAAAAAAGAAAAAGGAAATGAATCTGAATCTGATTCTGAGTCACTATCACAGCAAGAATACATATTAAACAAAAATTCATTGACAGTACTTGTTGTCAGTACATGGAGAAATCATTAGTAATGCATCTAATACTGCTGTTTATAATGGTAACGGTAGTATAAGGGCTGAGGCTAAAGTGGCAGAGACAAGAAACAGTACATTATAGGCTAGCAGGTTTTTTTTATTTTTTTTTCCAGCACAGTACAAGTCTTTCTCTTTGTTGTAATTGCTAATTTAACATGGATGTGATTGGATGGCTTTAGACAGTATGCTTTGTCTCTATCAGGGACATTCCGGCATGTTATAGGCATTTTCAGATCTTAAACAGAACAAGACCCTTTTCTTTGCCCTGAACTCGGTTTGTGCTGCTTCAAAGGGCTGAATGAATGGACCTGTCCCAGTTCCCAATGTGTGGGCCGTCGCAGTTATTCAAATTATTTTGCAGTTCAGAGGATATCATCACTGTTTTTCTACTGTCACTTTTGACGTCTGGGCTGGAGCTTATGCACGGGAGGGTTTTCTGTCTAGACTGCTGGAAATGTTGGTGATTTTATATTGTAGGTTCGCTCTTTATGGAAAAAGGATTAGATTAAGATTGACTTTATAAATGTGTCGTTTTGGGAATTTTCAGGTTGAGTTAAGTTACCAATTATAAAGGTCTGTGTGGTTTGCTCTGTGGACTTTACTGCTCTCACCTTTCCATTTGAAGTTCACATAAGTAAGTAAACTGATTTAGAGAAAAATAAGGGAAAATAAGATTTATTTCCCACTTTTTATTACACTATTTTTAAAGCTGTTTATGGATGCTTTTGATGGTTTAAAACTGAGGTATCTCACTTTGAAACCAAAAATTACTATGGAATTATGTAATTAAGGTAAAGGTGCACTTTATACAATAGAATCTATGTAATTAGTTCCTGGCTCTAAATCACTTTCGATGTCCACACGCATGTATGTTTGGTCTCATCTTTAGATCTGTTTTTTTTCAGTCAGAATAGTGAAGAAGAGAGGACTAGCCTCACTGTTTTCTAAATCAGTTACAACATGTACTGGTCTGATTTTACTTTTACTAAGACTCTTCCTGTTGTGATGAAATAGTATGATTTAGGATCAAAAAATGCTTTAAGATGAGGGAACTTCACGGTTTGGTTTCCTGCAGTTTACACACATTAAGATTGAGAGATCCTTTATTTGTCCCATGGTGGGGAAATTTCAGTGTTGCATCACAAGTTACAGACAGTAGGAATGCAGAGCTCACAGCACATGTTAAATGAATAATAACTCTTTACTAAAATAGATTAAAATCTCTAAAATAAGCAAGTTTAAAATCCCATTTACACAACGCATCATTTCCTTTCTGTTGCAGATCTGGTGAGCCCTTTGTACCGGCGTCATGGCCCTGGTTCAGGCTCTGCCCATGTCTGCTGAGTCCCACACCCGGAGACGGCACCGCTCCAACCCCTCGCCCCCCTCCGTCCCTCCCCCCTCTGCCCCGGAGCCTATGGGCACCGTCAGCAGCCTCCTCCCCTCCAGAACCGTCCCGTACCAGGATCACCGCTCTGATTTGGGAGCCAGGGCGCGGAAGGCTGCTCCGGGGACTTCTGCTTACGGATATGAGGCACCGGCAGAGCCCTCACTGCAGAGCCTCACCACCCCAATGAAGAAGCAAGGGTCGGGTCGTGCGCAAGAGGCGGAAAAAGGACATTACACTTATTTGAATGAGGAGTATGTGGACGACTGGAACGAACACCCGCTGAACACGGCCTGTCCCGGAGCGGAGGCGGATGACACAAAAGACGGGATCACAGGAAACATGGGCGGACCACCTCCAAAACTCATCCCAGTCTCAGGAAAACTGGAGAAGGTGAATACAACCAAATCTAACTTTACATGAAAAAAGACTGCAATTTTAATAGTTCAAATAGGTTGCTGCTAACAATGACTACTATATTGTTAAATAACTAATGGATATAACCTTAACCCTGATGTTTGGGTTTCAATATTTATCGCCTCTAAAATGCCAACACTTTTTTGACTAATTATTGCTGAATTCTATTTTCCATCCATCCATCCATTTTCTTCCCCTTAATCCATTTCTGGGTCGGGGGGGGTAGCAGTCAAAGCTGCACCCAGTTCACAGAGCACCAGCCCCTCACTGATCCTCCTGCAGGTGGTGAGTCCACAGGAGCTGAGATCTTTCAGTTGGGGCTTTGGGCAAAGTAGGGTTAAGTGTCTTGCCCAAGGACACAACGACAGCAGTCCTCAGTGGGAGTCGTGAAGTAGGTCTTACGGTGGGCTCGAACCCACGACCTTCAGACCCAAAGGCCAATGCTCTACCAACTGAGCTACTGTCGCCCTTCTATTTTCTATTTCTTTAATTTATGAATGTTGCTGATTTAAAATAGTTTGTATGTTTTTGCTGTTTTGTAATGCACCAGTAGAAGTCGTATCAATGATATTGTTTATCGCAGCACAACCCAATCCATCCATTCGTCACTGTGACAGGTTTATAGTGAAATTATTTTCATTTCGCTTTTCAAACCAAATAGACTGAGGCTCATAAATTCTAAATATATACAGTGCAGTGATAAATGTTTTGTTTTTGTTTATATCTTTATCACAAGCATCTTGGTTCAGAGCCACGCTAATGATTACTGTCAACTCATTTCAAGTCGATGCAAATGAAATTTGTTTTTGAAACGTGTCTCAACCCGTTGGACACCAGAGTTTATTCAGACATGTCACACGAAAGAGAAAAAATGTAGATTGAAACTTTTTAAGAGATTACTACAATCAATTTAAATATTTTTTTCAGACTTTATTTCAGGAAGCCAGGTTGCTGTATAGAACGTGTTTCAGGAGCGCATGTAGAACGTCTGCCTCTAGCTTACAACACCTCATGGGTTAACACTGTATAATTTTTTTTTAAAACTGACTCTCAAGCAGATCTTTATGCTTGTCTCCCTCTGTTTCAGAACATGGATAAAACCATCCTCCGTCCCACAGCGTTCAAACCGGTCATCCCCAAAAGCCGCACGTCGATGCAGTACCTGTCGCCGCGTCACTGCGCCAACGTCCATGACCAGAACAACCTCAACCTGCTCAGTCCCACTCACAGAGACCTGTCTCCTCCCTCTCCCGACAAACGCAGCTCCTACAGCAGCCGGCAGACCTGTTCTCTGGCCGACTCGGGGAGGAACTCTCTCTCCAGTCTGCCCCCTTATGGCGTGGCGGGGTATGGCATGACTGCTGAGGTCTCTAGTGGACATTCAGAGAAGAGCGCTCAGCCAGCAAACGCACACGGACACTCCAACTCCGACAGCGGGAGGTCCTCGTCCAGCAAGAGCACGGGGTCCGGGTCGCTGACGGGGAGGGGGCAGCCTTTGTCGGACAGCGGGTCAAACGGGCGCTCCCCTGGTCCTGCAGACGGGTACGAGGGCATCGTGAGGGAGCTGGAGGACAAGCTGCGGGAGAGGGACATGGAGCTACAGGTGCTCCGGGAAAACCTGGACGAGAACGAAGCCGCCATTTGTCAGGTGGGTTACAACCGCACAGCCAGATTTGTGAAGCGCTCATTCAAAGATAAGATTCAAGATTTGTCAAGGGAATTTGTCTTGGACTTACAGGCTCCTACATTGGAAATAGATAGATAGATACTTTATTGATCTGCGTAGGAGAAATTCAAAATTCCATCCAAACAAACAAAACAAATAAATAGATCATTCTAAAAATATCTAGCAATAATATTAAGATGCAACAGCAGCAGAGATGGTGTAGCCACTTGGTTTGGACCATTTTCTCATGCTATATGCTTTGTTAGCATTTTTCAAAAAGTTAGCATTCCTCCAGTGGATTTTTGCCTGATCTGCTTGTAGAAAAAAGCAGGAAAAAAATAACTGTTTCAGAGCTTCTTTGGACTTGCTGTTTCCTGCGCATTCTAAAGTAAGCATGAACAAGGAAATACATATAAGACAACAGAAAACACAAGACAAGACATTAACCATCAACGCTCTGCTCGATTGGCCTGCATTCAGGAGGATCAGATTTGGGTAGGAACGAGTTCTTATACCGGTTGAGGTATCTTTTCTTACTTTTAGTTGGTACTCTGTAGCGGTGGCCGGATGGGAGGAGCTCATACTGAGAGTAAAGGACATGAGAGGGTGAGAGATGTTATAACCCAATGCCTGATTATGAGATTTTTGATTCAAGTGTGATTTCTTAGTGGTTGAAATTTGTCAAATTGACTGCTCTCAATTCATCTCTTTATCCACCTCCAATAACACAGTAGTTCTCAGATAATGCACTATGCCTCATTTGAATGGATTTGTTCAATGTATGAAAACTGCTATGTTTCTTAGCTAGCTGTAAATGCTTCAATAATCATAGCGAATTCTGTCTTGTCCCATCCCTAGTTTGTATTGATCGCAAAATATACTTAGTTATGTTTATACAAATGATGTTTATGTCTTTAAATGGACATATTGCATAATTTTTATATTGAAATAATCTCCTCTTCTCATTAAAAGGTCATCAATGCCCAAAAATATCCGACTCCATCACAAAATCTGTATACTTTAACTGCTCAAGCCTGATGCTGTTTCAAATGTAAATGTTCAGGTTTACGAGGAGAAGCAGAAGCGTTTCGAGCTGGAGATCGAGGAACTGAGGCAGAACTGCGCCACCAGAATGCAGAGCGCCTCCCAGAAGTCTCAGCGCGCACAACAAGTCCTCCAACTGCAGGTACGATTGACTTCATGTCTAAACCTTTTCATTTAGTTCTGAATGAATCATCACGACGCGTCTGTTTTAAGGTCTTTCAGCTGCAGCAGGAGAAGAGGAAGCTGCAGGAAGACTTTGGCCAGCTCCTAAAAGAACGCGAGCAGCTGGAGGAGAGGTGCACTTCTTACGAACACGAGAAAATCCAACTGGGACCACGGCTCGAGGAGACCAAGTGGGAGGTGAGACTGACTCTGTGCCTGAGCTCGTCAAAAGGGAAATGATCTGGTTCAATGTAGAAACACCTTCTTTCATAGATTGATTTTAGCTGGTGTACACAACTTAACCATCCACTCTCTGTGTGTGGATTATACTCGGCAAGCAGTCTGCATTCAATTGTATGACATTTTATTTATTGATTACAAACTACATATGTCAAAGGGGTTTGTGAGAGGTGTAAAAAAAAAGGGATATTTTGATATGTAGTATCTTTGCCTCTATGAAACTCCGCCCCCTCTGTCTCAAAGCTCCTGTTTCAGTCTTGTAATAGTATGATGTCAAAGAGAAGATTTCAGCCATTTAAATTAAAAGTACTGACCAGAAAAAAGAAAAAAACAATTGTTCTTTGCAATCTCATGTAAAGAACGCCATTTCCTGTGTTTAGAGTTGGGAATTTTAAAATGTTTTAGGGAAACTGAGCTGGTCTTTGTGTACATGGATTTAGGTATTAAACATGTTGAGCACCTTTTGTGTTTCCAGGTGTGCCAGAAATCCGGGGAGATCTCGTTACTGAAGCAGCAGCTGAAGGAGGTGCAGGGGGAGCTGGCCCAGCGCGTGGGAGAGATCGTGTCGCTGAGGGGACAACTCCGAGAGACTCGCGGCGAGCTCACAAACACACAGGTGCTGCTACAGGAGGCCCACGGCTCCAACAGAACCAGGACTTTAGAGCTGGAGGTGTGCGAGAACGAATTACAGCGTCGCAAAAGTGAAGCAGAGTTACTCCGAGAGAAAGTTGGGAGACTCGAGGGCGAGATAGTTCAACTGACCGAAGCTTTAGCCAATCAGCGCACAGGAAATCGGCAATGTCTAGTGTTTCAGGAAGTGGAGGAGCATCTGTTGGCGTTTGAAAGTGACGAAGCGAAAGCCCATAGACAGAGCCTGACTGAGGCCATGCAGGGGATCAAAGTGCAGATGGACAGGATGAAGAGCGAACTCACTTTCGAGCGCCAGAGAGTGGAGGAGCAGCAGGTGAACTTCGAGGAGGAGCGCAAAGTGTGGCACGAGGAGAAGGACAAGGTGATCCGCTACCAGAAGCAGCTGCAGCAGAACTACGTGCAGATGTACCGCAAGAACAGGGAGCTGGAGCAGCACCTGCAGGAGCTCAGCCAGGAACTGGAGAGCAGAGACGACGACGACGGCAGCGGGAACGAGATCAACTTTGATGAAATCGCGGCGACAGAAATATGATCCGGCCGTCTCCGGTTTGGATTTGCACTAGTTTCATTTGTCTGTCCGCTCCTCCCTTAGATACAGATAAGCCATTGTGATGCGGATCAGATCTGTAGAGAAATCTCATCTATAAAGGAAGAGCTACATGTGCCTGGTTAACTGAGCTGTTTGTCCGCGATGCTTTCACGTCATTTCAACTGTATTTGTATTCTGCAAATCTCCAGTGTTTCCTTTTCAACTTCCACAGCATTCGGTCCAATGAAGTAACGACTTCTTATTCAGAGAGCAAATGGTCTGTATATTTTGATCGTAATAGACTAGAACTCAACTGTAAGCTAGTTCTGTTGGAGTCTCAGAAAATGACCACCTTTTTATTCAAGCGTTGTAGCACCAGCGTGAAGGAATTTTAATGAGTCTGGTAAAAAACATGGTGGAACCTTTTTTATAACGTGGAGACGGCTAACCAAGGCTGACCACCAGAGAGGGAGAGAAAGCGACATAATTCAAGCCTGTGCAAACCCTAACATTTCAGAGTCTAAAGAAGATAAATGATGGGATGTTTTTTAAGGGCGTTTAGTAAATTGGCGTACTCTGTAAAGTAATTGATCCTTTTATGATACAATTTCAGTATTAACATATGGACATCGACATATCTGTGGATCATGGCCTCTGTTAGCTGCAAGTAGGTCAGGCCTTCATTACCGACTTTTGCACTATTTTATCATGATCTCTTTAACTACAATCATAAACATATATAAAAACATTCTATTTTAGAATATTTTTGCTAAATCGATCAACGCCCGAATTAAATTTACAGTTTGTATCTTTCTGCAGGGTGAAATGATTGCGTGGCTTGGCATTTTAACTGTTCATCTCCAGCAGTTGATGCCGCTGAGGCAAGTGGTCAGGTCTGCTCTGTGGAGACGTTATACTGCAAGAATGTATATGTTTTATGGCAGGACATAAATAGATATTGAGAGATATTGAGACCAAAAATTTACAAAGTTGTGATTAAAAAAAGCTTTCATATAACTTTTGAAGGCATTTTTGGGTAAATGTTAATGCTTAAATTAGAGCTTTCAAATAACAAAGGCACAATGTTGTACTGACTTTGCATCTGCCTCATTTTGAATGTTGAAAAAAACCCAACCTGTCAGATCCAAATGCTTATAAATCTAATTGGATATAATATAATCAATGATTTCACTTCAATATTTGTCTTTGATAATCATAACCTATTGTATTATACTAAAGACTGATCGTATGTTTTGGCTTGGAGTTCTCTACACGTATCATAATTGTCCAACATCTACTGTATATTGCTACAATAGGAAATATGAGCTGTCATTGCATCTGCTTTAGGTTCCTACTTGGACTGGGATTATGTACTTCCCTGTTTGGAGCAGGACACACCCAAAAGCAACAGAGGGCCGTTGTCGCGCCGTTGCTGACTGAATCTAACTGTAAATACTTCCTGGAACTGAATGAAGAGATGAAGCAAAGTCACTGTGAATGACCAAAGCAATGTCACACCTATTTTGCTCGTCCACAATAAACGCTCGTGTGTCATCGGACCTGTTCGTTTTTCAGCGTAATTTTATAATTTACTATTTGTATGAGGACATTAAATGTATATTTTCATGCTGTACATTCTTGAACAAATCTATGTTTTATTAAAAATACCTGAAATAGTGTGTCTGGTTTAATGTATTCACAAGTCAGAGCTTTTTTAAAGGGAAATTTTTTAATTAAATGCATTGTTTTAACTAATTCTCATTTACATCACAAATACAAATTAGTATATTTTTGTTTAGAAACCAGATTCAGAAGTAACATTGTGTGCCTTTTTAAACACTGGCTGGGTGATGGCTCTTGTCTGCCCTCTACAGGTAACTGTGTATTTGTTTTATGTCTGATTTTTATAACTGCAAGACGTGTTGGAGGCACTCAGATTTCTACGTGAAGCTCCTCAGCAAATGTTAAGTAACGTAAAATAGTATGAACTCCCAGGCTTTCACTGGATTTGTTTTTTTTTTTTTTTCATTTCACAAAACAAGGTCCACAACACTCTACAATGTTGGTGTACCAGTAATTTTATATTTATTAATCAAAACATTTAAATAATTCATATCAACACTGGCTTCATTGTCCATTTTAAAATCTTTTGTGCTTTTGAGAAATGGTGCTGTTTGTGAATACTGGCATTGAGACGTGTGGCTGTTTAACTTTTTATACCTTTTTCAGTGTGTATTTCAAACACAGGCTATACATAACCAACATTACATAATAAGCACTTTATTAGTTTGAAAAAAAAGTATGTTTTTGTTACATTATATTACATGAATACAAAAACTGACATAAAAACACTGTCTCCTCTCCAAGTCCATTTTCACGGTTTGAGGATATAAGAGTATTGCAACTTTAAACAAGATTGGCCAATGGAACAAGCAAATGTTTTCTTCACATAGTCACAATTTTCTTATCTTAAAAGGTATATATTTTTGGAAAGAACCACCCTTCCACTTTTTGAAAAAAACTCTGGTCTTATTTGACGAGCTTGTCTCACCAGAACGATTGACAATTAGGAGGACCAATAGATGATCCACCTGGAAGTAGAAAATCCTCATATACCTTTTTAAATGAAGAAAAATAATGTGCTTCAGAAAAAAAAATGCTTTTCTGGTGGCAAATCTTATCATAATTTAGTCACAATATAGGTAATAATTAAATTCTGCCTCAAATACGGTATGTATTTGAGGCAGAATTCACTTTTGAATGTGAGATTTTGGAAAATACAGTATTCTCTGCTCTCTCTCCCCTCCTCGGGTTCAGTGTCTTATGTTGTGACAAACTTTGAGGTTTCATGTCTGGCTGAGTTCAAGTCCAGTGAGTCCGCCTTGATCCTCTTTAAGGATTTTGTGGGACTTTGACCACAAAAACCATGGGGTCTTTGGCCTTGTTGCTGAAGGCTTTCCGGATAATGTCCACAGCGTGTTGGTGAGTGACTCCCTGCAAAGACACTCCGTCCACTGACACCAGCTCGAATCCTGCCTGAGGACGAGACGGAGCAAAATGTGACCTGACAACATTCAGATATCACTCCTGCAGTTCCTCGTCGGCCAAAAAATAGTGCTATCATTGAAGGTTCGCATAAAAACAGAATGTAAGTACAGAGGTGAAGGGAAGAATGGGGGCTGGGGGGCTTCATTATAACTTGTATGGTAAATTAATTATAATTTCTTCTTGATAAATGTATGGTCATGTATTCTATTACTTTAGTTTTACTGTTTTACAATAACCTGCTCAGGGACTACAGCTGTATATTCGCACTATTAGCACTGATGCTACAACCTGGTAAAATGCCATTTTTACACTGTCCCTGTGGAAATAAAAATCATACCGTATCAATACTGTGAATATTGGTTTGACGATAATGAATAATCCATCATATTATTATTTTTATTATTATTGGCAAAAATAGTGCAAAAAAAACTTTTCAACCTTACACACAATATACTGTGCTTTTTAGGCTGGTTATATTTTTGTAGTGTACTTTTAATATTAATTACTCAGATTTATTCTCAGGAGATTTTGGGAACAACATAAATATTTACAGTTTTGAGTTAAGCTTGGAAATGGGAAAAGCAAAAAATTATGAGGAAAGTCATTTAGACTAGATTTTACAGCTGTTTTTGAGTGCTTCCTTTATTCTTGATGTTCTTTACTGTGCGTTGCAACACTGACATCTCCCCGCTGTGGGACGAGCAAAGGATGTCTTGTTTTGCAGGAACAGGAAAGTACTTTTGAGTGTTGATGAAAGTACCTTTAGAACTTCACTCGTCGAAGCGGCTCCACCGGGAAAAATCTTCTCTATTTTTATGATTGGCTGAACCTTTGATTCCATGCCCCCGGATATACTGATACCTGCAGGAAAAGCAAATGTGTATCAAAAAATAATAACACTAAATGTATTAGCTTTTGTGTAACAGCGTTTCTACAGTTTTCTTGCTCAAAATATGGACGCACCTGCTCAACAAATGAAGTATTTTACAATCAAATTTGTATAATCGAATTTACAAATTGCTCTACAGACACGTGACACATGTAGCTCTATCACACATGCTAAAAACCTGAACCTTTCAATCAACACAAATCTATATTTAGCCCAAAACACATTTCAAATTCTTCAATGTAAAATGATAGTGGAGCACTACCACAACAGCTGTACATGACTCTGCAGCTGATGGACACTTACCCAGAGACTGCTTGGTCTTGGAGATGCTGACCGTCTTGAGCTCGTACTTCTGCTCTGCCCCCGTCCCGTTCAGTCCGTTCTCTGAAACATGTCCGTTCACCGTCCCACTCTGGTGTTTTTGTTCTGAACTGGGGCTGAAAACTTGGGACAGCAGAGGCCGACTCCGGTTTGAGGCACTTTGAAGCGTAAACAAAACTTCCTTCCCTTTTTTATCTTTCGCGTTTCCGTTCCTGGAAGGGGACCGGCCTCTCTGAGATGTGCTGCTTCTGTCTGACGTGGAGTGAAGTGAGACCTCGTCGAAGTGAACAGAACGCACGGTCCCTATGTCGGTCCTCAAGGGGAAACGAGAGTCTTCTGAGCGGGCCAGGAGCCAGTTGGGGACCATGGGGCTGGAGGGAGGCTTTAGCTCCCTGGAATTGGAGTGGTACCCGTCCAAAGGGACGTCCAGCAGCGGGGCGAAGGCACTGGAGGTGTGAGGTCTGGGGACAGTAGGAGCGGTCAGGCTGAGCTTCTCCAGCTGCTCCAGTAGGTGGCTCTCCTTCTCCACCTCCTCCGCATGGTGCAGCTCAAAGCCTCCTCTGTAGTCTGCAAACAGGAGGAGACTTGAGATTATTCCAGAAACTTGCATAGATCTTGCAAAATGATTTAATATGATTCCTTTATCAGTGACTACGACTATTACGTTTTTTTACATTTTTATGTTGAGTATAAACACTATGATTTTAAGCCTTGAGAATGTGTTTCTATCAAGACACAACACACTGATTTTACGGGAATTAAATATATAATGTTATAAATCCCGTTTCACAAAGCCAATGTCACTGCATATAGTTACATGCTATCTAATACTGATTCAAGAATTTATTGGCCATTTGCAGTAAAACCACATTGGAACAACTGTGCAAGACTACCCTATAGTGTGCACCAGATAGTACACACCAGAGCTCTTCAGAATCAGAATTTACTGATATTAAAGCTAGGGTACCTCAATTTCAAACCACAGAAAAATGGAACAATATATACAACCCATCTATAGCTCCCAGCTCTCCACCGGCTAACAATTTTATTCTATTTCTAGTTTTCACAGCATGTGGACCTCTGTCTCATCTTTAAATCGGATTTTTCAAATTTAGAAGTGAAAGATAGAGGAGCTCCACTCAAAGTGTCAAATAGTGCCTCACAGGGCCCTTTCTTACAAGTATGTAAAAGAGTTTTCTAATAAGATGAAGACAGCAACAGACTCTTTCTGTTGGAATGAAAATAATGATGGATTATTTATGAAGGCGGAAAAAGTTAGGTACCCCAGCTTTATTCTAATCAACAAACGGACCTGGGATGGGTGTGATGAGATGTCGTTTTGGGGCCCGTCCAGCGTTCGGAGAGCGGAGTGGAGGGGTTCGGACTAAAACACAATAACAAATCCTTGAAATTACTGAATTAAAATTTGGTTGTGTTTCTGAATGTGACGGCGGGCCATACTTGAGCGATACTTGAGGATGTCGTAGGCCTCAGCTTCGACTGGAGCCACCATGTTGTTGAATAAAGTGAGGTCAGGCGGAGAAAGCAGCATCCTAGAACATAATACATCCATGATTTACTGCAAAACATCTTTTATTAGCAGTCTTTTGTCTTCCTCTGAGTAACACTGGATTTAATGTGATTAAATCCAATCCAGAGAAAGCCCTAATCTCCTTAAGGTCTGATGTAACACTGTTTACAAATGAAATGACAGGTGGTTGGATTAACATATGGGGAAGTGAGTGATAGCATTTTCATTTATTTATTATTATTATTTTAGTTTTCTTACCTTGCTTCTCTCAGCAGCAGTAACTTCTCGGGTCTGTCCAGAACGCCCAGTAGGTGGCGTATGAAGGTTTCTACTGACTGTTCGGCTATGTACTGTAAAACAAAACAACACCACATAACACAGTGGGATCTAGGCGAGCTACTCCTTCCATGTTCTTCCACTTCATCCGTTGCCAGGTCGCGGTGGCAGCAGTTGGAGCAGAGACGCATAAGACTTCCCTATCCACACACACTTCCTCCAGCTTATCCGGGGGAAGCGTGAAGCGTTCCCAGGCCAATCCCTCCAACGTGTCCTGGGTCTTCCTCTGGGTTTCCTCCTGGTGGGATGTACCCGGAACACCTCCAGGAGGCCTCACAAACAGATTCCTCAGCCACCTCAGGAGAAGCAGCGGCTCTAATCCCAGCTCCTAATACAATCCCTAAGGGAGTACTCAGCCACTCTGGTCCAAAGGAGCTTCCTCCGCACTTTTATTTGAGGTAGGGGACGTAGATTGACAGGTACATCAAGAGCTTTGCCTTTTGACTCAGCTCTCTTTTCAGCACAACAGTCTAATACAGCTCTGACTACAGACGCTGCTCCCTCTTCACCACAACAGTCCGATACAGCTCTGACTACAGACGCTGCTCCCTCTTCACCACAACAGTCTAATACAGCTCTGACTACAGACGCTGCTCCCTCTTCACCACAACAGTCTAATACAGCTCTGACTACAGACGCTGCTCCCTCTTCACCACAACAGTCTAATACAGCAGACGCTGCTCCCTCTTCACAATAGTAATTTTAGAATGACGAAACATTGAATGAATCCTATGAACATTGTCTTGCCTAACATCAGGCTTGCACAATCATAGTTTTTTTTATGATATATTATGATGATTATGGACTCTTCTTCTCACCCGGCGACAGCTCTTCATCACAGAAGCCACCTCCTCCTCCGTCAGCAGCCTCCGGGCCATGCCTTCCACCACCCCCAGCATCTCTGCATTTGGCTGTTTTCCATCTGATTACAGAAACACATTTATCTCATTCATTTTTAACTAAAGGTTTTATCCTCACGAGGGGAGTGAGTAATATCATCACAAAGTACAGATTTTTTTGTTGTTGTCCAGGACAGACTTGAAAAAGAAGTTCTTAATATCAATTGGACTTTTCTAGTTAAATAAATGTTAAATTAAAATAACAACTTAAGTGTCATTGTTTTGATGGTCAACAAATCATATGGAATAAGTAAACTGTATGGCTTTGGCTCAAATAAATCTGTATTGCAAATTTCTCATTCAACGAGAAAGTATTTAAGACATTATTGACATTCATAATGTTGCATAGAGCCCCAGTTTTAACGGTACCTTTGCCAGCTCGATCACTGGACTTGGAACGACCTTTCCGTCCACCTTTAAACAGCAGATTCACAAACGTTTTTGACCTCTGCAGCGTGCTCTTCTCCTCTGGGTCTTTTCCTTTCTGCGTTTTCTCCTTCTTCTGTGTAATCTCTACAGAACAAAACACAAAATGAAAGTCCTTTTTTTTTCTCTCTCACTGCATTCAAATCCTGACCAGCGCGGTCACCTGCTACAGTGACCTGGCTCTGGGAGCGGGTGATGGGCCGGCTGGGTTTGCTAAGAGCCAGGAGCACAGCGGTTTTGGGAGATTCTTTCTTCTTTTTGCCCTCGTCTCCTCGGATGGCAGTGTCTTTAAGCAGCGTGGTCGGTCCCAGACTGCGGGTCGTGTCAGCCGAGATCTCTGGATGTTCTGGCTCAGACCTGGGTGAATCGCAAACACAAAATAACATGGCAGAGCTGTGTACATTTGTATTGGTTGTGGACTTGAATTTGCAACATTAGGCTATACATAGGGAGTTCTTTCTTTATTTTTTTTATTTTTTTTTTGGCACTTTACCATTATCTTCCTTATTTATTTTCTCTGTTATTCTCTTTTTTTGCAACCTTTTTTGATTTTTTTTTCCTTTTAAGAAATTTAAAAATGTAAAAAGAAAAAAAGATTTAAAAAAGCCATAAAGCGAAGTGCCCATGGGAAAATGTTTGCTCCTACTCCGATTGGAACCCATTTACTTTGACTCTATAGCAATGTATACAAAAGTGACCAAAATAAAACTTAATTCATTCATGTCATAATTTTGAGCTTAAACATCTGTGATTAAATTTGTCTTTGATAATGTCTGTGAGCTGGTGCTATGTGTACCGGGTGCAGCTCCCACTGCCACTCCCAGACCCAGAAATGGATTAAGGGGAAGAAAATGGATGGATGGATGTTTTCGCAGGGCCTTCTATCCCAGAATTGCCTTTGGAAGCAGGTGCAGCCCAGTGGTGCTCCTGATTGGCTATTTGATTTCTGACTATAGTTGCTCTCTGAGAATTTGGCTTCAGAGTCCTGCTCAGGGAATCTGTTTGAGTTCGCACCAATTGACTTTGTTCGGAAAAAGGCAAACACGATGGGTAAAGAAACAGCATTCAGTCAGTTCACTTAGTTCTACGCTCTATGGTACCTGGGTGCTTCAAGTACCTGGGTGTTCACATTAACAATAAACTGGACTGGTCCCATAATACAAACGCCCTGCACAAGAAGGGCCAAAGTCGCCTCTTCCTTCTGAGGAGGCTGAGGGCCTTCGGAGTGAGCAGGCCTCTGCTCAGGACTTTTTATGACTCCGTGGTAGCTTCTGCCATTTACTACGCTACCGTGTGTTGGGCCCCGGGCAGCACAGAGTGGGACAGAAACAGACTGAACAAGCTGGTCAGGAGGGCCAGCTCCACTCTGGGCTGCTCCCTGGACTCTGTGGAGGAGGTGAGGGACAGGAGGGTGCTAGCCAAAGCCACCTCCATCATGAACAATACCTCCCACCCACTGCACAGGACTGTAGAGGAGCTGAGGAGCTCCTTCAGTGGAAGACTGAGGCACCCTCAGTGTAGGAAGGAGCGCTACCGCAGGGCCTTTATCCCCACCGCTGTCAGACTGTACAATAAGTCACTTTAAATGATCACTGTGTGAAAACCTGCACTACTATTGACACTGTTTCCAATTGACACTTGTCGCTTTTGTTGCACATAATTATTGTCACTTTATTGTACATATATCCTGCATGTAACATGTTTGCACATTTCCTCCTTTTGCACAATCTGAGTGTCTCTATCCATGCCAAATGTGACATGTACATTTCTCCTCTGTGAGATAAGTAAAGCACATCTTATCTCATCTTATCTTTACCCTTTTGGTTGGGAAGGAGAAAACTTATGGACTTGTGTGACGTATACAGTAGTTCACAGCAGCGATAGAGCACAAAGATGTGTCCCACCTCTGGTCTTCAGTGGAGATGCACACGTCCACCATGTCGGACCCAAACGGCAGACTGGGAGGGAACATGACCTGGGACAGACCGCTGAGAGAGCTCACCGGAGTCCCCGAGGAGAGCGACGAGGCCGAGGAGGTGGAGACTGAGCCCTGGGACGACGAGTTCTGGGTTCCATTGGCCACTGACAGGAAAAAACACACCGCTTTGAACACATTTCAATACAATGTGTGTATAGATTACGTAGTGTTGGTCTAAGCCTCAGGTTGTAACTATGACAACAAACAGGGAATGGGATGATATTTAGATACATAGATTTGTAGGTCAACATTAATATTACGGCTTTAATTTATATTATTATATTAGCAATGATTTTACACATACATTGGATTTTACACAAAGTCCAAATAAAATAATTAAGATTTTGCTTCATTATTGCTTCAAATGTTCCTTATATGTTGTAAATAGGAGCTGATGATCAATCAATCAATCAACTTTATTTGTATGGCGCCTTTCCAACACAAGGCCACTCAAAGCGCCTCACAACCCACATAATATCACACAAATCAGAGACATCAATAAATACATTAAAAACAGAATAAAATCACAAGTAATGAAAAAAAAAAAAAAAAAAAAAATATTAAAAGCACACACGGGATTAAAATAATAAATAACCACAATGCATTAAAAAAAAAAAAAAAAAAGAGTATGTATCAATAAAATCCTTCAGCCGTATGCACAGCTAAAAAGAACAGTTTTTAGCCCAGAGTAGATGCTAGCCTCACATCTTCAGGAAGATTGTTCCAGATTTTAGCTCCATAAATCTCAAACGCTGCCTCCCCATGTTTAGTTCTGACTCTTGGAACCAGTAAGAGGCTACCTCCTGTGCTCCTCAGAGTCCGGGCCGGTTCATATGGGACTAACAAGTCGCTTAAGTACCCTGGTGCGAGGCCATGGAGAGACTTGTACACAAGCAGTGCTGCTTTGAAGTCTATTCTCTGAGCCACAGGAAGCCAGTGCAGAGACCTGAGAACTGGACTAATGTGGTCATATTTCCGTTATAGTAATTGCAACTACCCACAGGAATTGAAAATTTAGCTTTAGCTGTAGATGTGTTGCCTTAATTGCTGACTGCTTGAAAAGAGTAAATTAGAAAATACAATAAAAAAATTGAAAATAAATTGAAAAAAAATACATCATATATGAATAAATGGAAAACAATAATTTAAAAAATCAAAATAAATAAATATATAAACTCATATTAAATAAAGTGATTAGAAATACAGCAGGATAATGGACAAAATCACTAATATTTACAATTAGTTTTTAGTCAGATAATTCATACAGAAACATGTACTTTATCCTTATCTGGTAAAATAATATAATCAAAGACAACATACATTTATTCAACCATCTGTATTCAGCCACCATCTCCTTGTAGGCAGGATAGCGCCCCGCCTCCTGCAAAGATATGATCACAGATATGCAAATGAGATACAGTGGAGCGCCTGCAACTTTTATGGGATCGCTATATTTGATAAAAGCGTAACCCTAGAATCACAGAGGGCCTCAAAACCACCACCTCTTTTTCTTTTGAATTTAAATTCCTTTCGACCCAGACACGATCTCCCCCTTCACTTTCTAGCCTCTCCGGTCACCTTTGATAGTTGTTCTGCTTTCTAACCCTCGTCGGAGTTTCGGTTCCCACAGCCCATTGTGAGAGAGCCTCAAACTAAACTCGAACAAACACTGGCCCGCGCTTGTCCCAGCACCTGATCCCGGGCGCCTGGTGAATAATGCACGCGGCTTGGCTATTTCTCACAGCGCGAAACCCAACCTTCAACAAGTAAAGTGAGCGAGGAATATCACAACTGCATACCAGCTGTCGCCCCGGTGAGATACAGGCGGTGATATGTCCCATTGTATAGCAACATTACTTATGTAATTAGCCCGGCCCACGCAGTCCCCCTTACTGCTGAGTCTGTTTTTTTCTTCTCCTTTTGACATGCTTAAAACTGCGTGTGCGACGTTGAAATGGGCTGACTAGATGTTGAATTTGATTGCTATCGATGTAACAGAAAGCAGCTGACTTGCTTTCTAGTAAGTGCGTGCAAAAACAAGGAGTCATTGTGAAAGTTGATACACGCCGAGAGACATTAAAGCAACTTCAAATGAGCGTGTGTTGCGGGAGACTGTTACTTAAACGGTAACTAACTAACGGTAAAAAAGTAATGAAACCTACCTGAAGTCTATTCTGCTTTTGGAGGGACTGGATTTTACTACTACAACTGTTGTTAGCTACTTTTAGAATGATCTATCTATGTGTTTTGTGTGTATGGATGGATGTGTTTCTGCTGCTACTGGACATCTGAATTTCTCCTACAGGGATCAATAAAGTATCTATCAATCTATGGCATAAACGCAACTAAAATACACTACAACATGGATGTATAATTGTATATGCTGATCTAAACAGTCAATATGTGTCTATGTTGTTTGTTTCCAAGCCCTATACTGTTAAACATGTAGCGCTAACAAATGGCAGATGATAAAAGCTAAAAAAAAAAATAGTTTTAATCTTGTGTTTTCTCTGTAGATATTCCTCTTTGTTCCATCTCCTGAAGGATTGAAGGATGTACTTTTAATAATTCTAAGTAAGTAAGTAAGCTTTATTTATATACCGCCTTTCACAGAACAGAGTCACAAAGCGGTTTACAATTGTTTTTTTTGTTTTTGGTTGGTTTTGTTGAGCACTTTGAGTTTCCTTGTTTATGAACTGTGCAATACAAATTCTTGTCATGCCTGTTGCTTCTATGTGCTCACTCCAAAACATTTCTGTCTAGACAAAACATCCAATTATAAGTTGGTCCAATGTAACAGGACATATTTAAGGGCATGTCCACACAAGTTTGTCTGGTTCACTTTAACTGGACTAAGTCTGGTTTACTTGGGGTAAAAATGTATCCTGACTGACACATGCTCACTTTAGGCTTTTATACGTCCACAAATAAATAAGGCATCTCTGTCTGTCTCTGCCTTTCTCTCTCTGTCTATCTATGTCTGTCTTTCTCTGTCGATCTATGTCTATCTATATCTGTCTATGTCTATCTGTGTCTGTCTGTGTCTGTCAATGTCTGTATGTCTATCAATGTCTATCTATGTCTGTCTATGTCTGTCTATCTCTCTCTCTGTCTCTCTCTGTCTCTCTCTGCCTCTCTCTGTCTCTCTCTCTGTCTGTCTCTCTCTCTGGCCCTCTTTACTACACCACAGTTATGCTTTAAATAAAACAACAAACCTTAATAGTGAGCATAACATGCGTGTGGCTCTTCAGCACTTCCACTGCGCTGCTGTGACTGATGTCCTCAAAGCTGATCCCGTTCGCGACGAGTATCTGGTCGCCCATTTTGATCCCGTTCAGTTCAGCGAGCCCGCATGGATCCAGTCTGTTAAACTTGTTAATGTAAATTCCTCAAAGAAAACTGAAGACTTCTATCAATAGCACAAATGGCACCATAAGAAAACTTACTTGGAGACATAGATGCCGAGCCCAAACTCCTTGCCTCCCCGAATGTTAAATCCCAGGCAGTAATCGTCGGAAGTGGTGGAAAGGTGAACGATTCTTGGCAGAGCACTTACAGAACTGGCCTCAGAAGGAGTCTTTCCGCTTTCCTCCACCACCATCCGTTTATGTATCAAATCTACCCTGCATGAAGGACAAGATGTTTCAAACCAAGCGGACTTCCTGTTTTTTTTCATGTTGAATGGCTTTTTTAGTGTACCTGCAGGTTTGAAATAAAATGAATAAAATGAATTAAATTAAATTAATTAAATAAAATAAATAGAATAAATAAAATAAATACAAAATCTTACAGGGGTCTTACACAAATAAAGAACAAAAGTTGAGTGCATACAGTGCCTTTCGAACATGTCTATACAACTTAAACTTTAGCACATTTTGTCATCACAAACATGCAGATATTATTTTGGATAATTGCAGACAATTGTGAAGTGAAATCCAAATAATATAGTCTAACCATGCTGTAACACAACTTCCTCCTTGTGTTACAGCATAGGCCCTCACAGAAAGTACAGAGAGTACATTACACTCAGGCGGACTCGTGTATAAACATTTAAGAAAAATCTGGACATTCAGCGGTCAATACAATATTTTCAAAAGCTTTTTATGCACTCATTAATTGCTGTATGGTCTCTTATGCAGGCCTCCCTTTTTAGTTTTTCTTTACTAAACATAATCATGTATCTTTTTGCTTCCACTTCACTGATATATGTTACTTTATGGTGGTCTTTCAATAACCTTTTCACAATAAAAGCTTTATATTTGTGGTTGTGATATGTAGAGATGTAGCACAAAGAGACTCAGCCTCGGTATGATTTAACATAACGCCTCCTCTTTCCACTGCAATAAAAGAATGCTCCATTTGTGTTGGTACCATGTGGTCTTCTCTTTGGAGTAGCGGATGCCGGGGACCTTGCCGACCCTCCTCACCACCATCCTCAGTCTGTTGCTGCCGGTCAGGACCCGGACAGCACTGCTCATGGTGATGCTCTCCAGGCTGATCCCATTCACCTCCACCAGTTTATCCCCGACACGCAAACCGGCCTCCGCTGCGAGAAAATGTCATGGAATGGTTAGCCTACATTGCTAACAAAGCATTATTTTGCATGTGTGTGTATTGCACCTGCTGCACTGTCGTCCTCCACTTTACTGACAAAGATGCTGAGCCCGTGTTCAGACCCTCCCCTGACGCTGAAGCCAAGTCTGCCATCCAAACTTTTATCCACTGTGATTGTGTGGAGGTCTTCACTGTCATCTCCACCTACAAATTACACAATATATACACAAATGTTGGTACTTGAGGTACTTAATGTTCAAAACACAAAAACTGAACTGTGTGAAAAAAAGAAACATGAACTCTTTCCAACTCCAGCTTGGTTTTGCCGTGCATGTTTGTTTGTATTTTTATTTTTTTTATATCTGTCACATTTTTGGATTAGGGTTTTCAGACAAGAAGGTGAAAAAGAGAGAACCAACATCACTCAGCCACACCTCAGCTCTCATCCCAAAGTGTCAAATATTGACTCACAGGGCTCTCTCTCTCTCTCTCTCTCTGTCTCTCCAAGTATGCCCAAGATGGAGACAGCATGTTGTGGTCTGATTTGTTTACATTTACTTTTACAAGACTTGTTCAGTTGGCAAAAAAACAGCATTTGTTATTTATGAAAAATAAGAAAATATAAGTTAGGTACCAGCATTAATATTTATTTATTTGAATTGTGTGTGGAATATGCTGATAGGGAATTGCTAATTGTAATTGAGTAACAGACGTATAATATTCATGCATGCGCTTGTGCAGGTGCAGCTGGCCCTACCATCCACAGGAGAGTTGATGAGGATGACCCTGCCCATGGGTGAGGAGGATCGGATTCCGCGACGGCGCTGCTCCTTCTTGCGGAGGAGGTTGCGTGTAGCTGTGTGTGACCCTTGAGGGCCAGGGGTCTTCTCCCTCCGAGGGGGCTCTGATGAGTGAGCCATGGAGGCAGAGGGGTCCACTTTCACTGATACTGCCGCAGGGACTCAGCTCCTGGAGCAGACTGAGGAGGAAGGATATATTTAACATAACGATGATGAAGTTAAATGAACATGTTTACAAGTCCACCTACTGCGTTTGGATCCTCGATGGCATGGCAGCTGGCTCCTTCTGCAGACTCGGTTTCCATTCCAGTCCATGTTGCATCTCTCTTAGCTGTATAAACCTCAGAACAGAGCATGCATAAAGTTAAAAACTAATAACTGAATAACTGTGGCTTTTTGTCTATTGTCATTAAAGCTGAAGAACCTAATTTTCAAACCATAACAATTGAACAACTGGTGTGTATTAAAATCAAACTCATTCCACGCTCTCAATACAGTTCAGCTCTATAAATAGTTTTCAAATGCAAGTATTTTTGCCTCTGCCACAACTTCAGATCAGAAGAAAAGGAGAGGACCATCCATTCAACCATTCAGCTCTCAACCCAAAGCTTCAAACAGGGACTTCCAGGGTTCTTTCTCAAACATATGCAAATAATCCTAATAAAATGAGGACAGCATATTGTTGTCTGACTTGTTCACAACATTTTACTTTTACAAGACTTTCTCTATTGGTAAAACAGAGTGTTATTTATGACAAAAACAATGAGCTATGTACATCAGCTTTAAGCCATGAGCCCTGATTCAACGTACATCGCTGAGGGGGGTTAAAAATAGGCTTAATGCGTCTGTTTGGCTCTGACGTGTCACTCGTGTTGGCCCAGTTGACACATGTTTGTTTTCTTTTCCACTGTAACATGTCACTCTCCCTGACCCCCGGAGCAGTGAGGGTTACCCCAGACACACGGCCGTCAGCACCACAGACAGCGCCACAAAATGTACGTCATTCATTTCGACTTTACTCAACAATACAATAAGCTCTTTCAGGTTATAAATCTTGACCTACGTGTATTCATAATTCAAGAAAAAGAAAAAAATAGTGCACAAACAGCGAAATTACATGAAACAAATTATACAATATTTACACTGTGAAACTTTCTATGAACAATAATATGTACTTACTGAACATTTTACGCTCCCCAAAAAATTAAACGTAGCACCAAAACGCATTCCCCATTTAACAAGGACCAATCCCCGTCTTATGTCAACCCATGTTGGTTCAGCAAAGTGTATCCATCCATGTTGAGTGGAGTCACTGAGCGCATCTGACACGCTTGTCGCTCAAAGCTCCTCCCTTGAAACCACGCGATTGGCTGAAACAATAAGGGACTAAGCATTTTATTAATTGGCAATTACTTTCTGTGAGGTAAAAATACAAATTCAAGGTAACTAAATAGTATCGGCAAAATAACGGCTTCATAATGTTGGATTGAGTTTTGTTGGTCAGTATTCATGGTTTTTCAAAAAAGTGCAAAAAAAAAAAATAAATACTCAATCTAAAACTAACAGCACCACCCACAGGACGTGAAGTCTTACAACTCACCGTATCAAACACTACCATAAATAAGCAATAACTCTCATAAGAACATTACTTAAACATCCAGTCCATGTCAAAATTTTGAAGAAACCTAAAAAGTTGCTTCTTAAAGCCAGAGTACCCAACTTGTTTCCTCCTAAAAAAGTCTTGCAAAAGTATAATGTTGTGAACTTGCCACCTTAAGAACACTGACATCAATAAAGTTTATCTTATGACGCTTGGCCGAGTGAGACTTGTACACAGTTTTTTCAGATTAAGTGAAACAGATTTAAAAATGTGACTGGTAAAAAAATAAAAAAAATACAAGCATGTGAAAACAAGTGATAGAACCAAACAGAGTTAAATATTAGATCCATTTTGGTCTGCTGTGCAAATCTGCTCACAGAAATACAGTACAATCATTCACTGTCCAAGAACAGGGAGTCCCTTTCTGCAATCCGAACCCAAAACTCATAATTTCCTCTTCAAGAACGGATAAGAGGCCTATTGAGCAAACACACGTTTTATTGTTCAGAGGTCACAGTCTCAAAGTTACTTGGGTCTTACACAACCGTAACATGAGCTGGATGTCAAAGATCAAGTCTGATTTCTTCAAACGTTTCAAAACAGACCATCATAGACACACCCAGAAAGTACATTTTACTTTGGTGTAACGATCCAAATTCCTCAGACGACAGTGTTTAGTCACAGAACAGTCTTATTTGTTCTGTATGGGCTGGAGTTCACGAGGCATTCTTCTCACAGCTTCAATCACATCTTTAATATTCACTTTGTCTCCAAACTCAATTTCTCTGTGTTCCAACAGAATTCCCTGAAAGCAAACAAGAAAAACATAATATTGTATACGGTTCATTTCATACAAACTTATTAGGTATAGCTTGGTATATTACCTGTTGTCCTCTCCCAATCACAAAGACTCCCCCCAGGACAAATCCTTCTCCAAAAACATTTCCTGCGAAGCCTTTAGTAAACGCTCTCATGCCGTTGGTCCACACGCCCACCCTGAGAAACGCCAGCAGGCCCATCCTCCGCTCCCGTGGTCCATAGAACCTCCTCTGTCAACAAACACGAGTTTGAGAGAGCTTGTTGTGGTGTGTTTCATTCCAAACATATTTCTTCAAACAAGTTTCCAAGACAAACATGCATTCATGAAACATAAAACGTTTGGTACTTTTTACAGCTTTCAGCAAAGTTAGTCTTCTCCAATTTACTCAACAACTGATATAAATATTACCTTTTCATCCAAGAAAATTTCCCCTTTGAAGAATGGTTTGAAGTTTAGGGCCTCTGTGCCGACGTCCTCCTTCAATACTGCATACAAAGGGACCCCAAGCAGATTAAGCTCAGGCTTCAGAGAGGACAGCTCTGCAGCCTCCTGTAAAAGGAACATAGATGAGAGAAGACGATATACAATGATATAACACCACCATATATCTAAGGAAGATTCAGTCTTCAGGGTGACATCATCCAGTTTCCTTTTTTGGTACATTTGGAAATGACAAAATCCATATTTTTTGTGTTAATTCTATACAACACATTGTGTGCACCATGTGCACTTGTATATTGTAAATAGTAACTAACTCCATTTTAAATTTAAATGTATTCCTTAGAAGTGTTTTTTATTCTTTATTTTTATTATCTCTTTCTAACTGCTTTGGCACTGAGCCAAAGCAATTTCCAAGTCTGTGACCTCCTGTTACTTACGTGGCAATAAAAATGATCCTGATTCTGATTCTGACGAGGGTCTATTAAAGTAGCAGGAATCCATACATCAGAACAATTATAATACCTCTCTGCACAAAAATCATCCAGGTCTCCTCACAGCCATGATCACTGCTCCAGTATTCTCCCACAAGGCCTTTGCTTTAAAAGACCTTTTCTCTGTGCAGAAACAAATGTTTGTTTAGTGAATTTCATCATAAATAAACAAACACAAAGATGACTTGACAAAGTACATATCACACAGAATAGATTATAAAAGTACAAAACCTCACCTCCCTGCAGAGTTGAGAGTTCTGTCTCCTCCAAATGCTTCAGAGTTGCTTTCAGAGGAGACGTCAGAAAAGGATCAGTCAGAAAGTTCATAACAGTCGTGACAAACCCAGCCACTGTGGCCATGGCGCTCACGACGAGCCCCATGACGGCCACCTCCTGCTGCTGCTGCTGCTGCTGCTGCTGCTGCTGCTGCTGCTGCTGCTGCTGCTGCTTTTACTGGAGGAGTGAAGCTTCGCACATCTCGACTTGTTTTCCTTCTGTAATTTCAGTGATCTCACCAATCTTTAAAGCAGCATGTGACCCTGTGAGTTGCGAAAGCTCAGTGTTTGTGTCTGTGTGTGTGTTTGGGGCGGTCTGCTCTGGTCTGATGCAGCCCGTTGATTGGACGCAGCTGCTGCCAATCACATGCGTCATCAGTTACGTTTTCAAATTATTATTAAAATTATGAATTATTAAAAATGATAAATGATCTAAAATTAAAGTCTAGGCTGAAAAATAATACTTACATCTGGACAATGAAGGGGAAAAACGGTTGTAATTTGTAGATACCAACACGAGTATATCACAGTTTTAGATTTAAGCTATAAAGAGGGCTACTAATCCGGACTGAATGAATGCACAAAAAAACTATTAGAAGTTGTGCCAAGAAGTATGTATGTAAATATTTATTTTGCAACATAGGAGACATTTCACTGTAAGAAGTATTGTATATTTCTGAAAGACCCTACACGCACCACTTTAAGTCGACTATTTTGTTTAATGATCACACTCACTCAAGCTTGAATTACACTATAGGGTTACTCACGATGCATAGAATTACAAAGAAGTAATACTTATCAATGCTGTTCAAATTATATTGATCAAGTTTGAACAAAAATATGTAGGCAACATGTATAGGCTTTATTCATTTAAATTGCCATTTGTCATGTTCTCAGTTCTCATCCTCTTCTGCTTCTTTCTGTAAAAGACAAATGAATACTCAATAAACGTGACAAACATCTCTCTGTAAAATGTCCACACCTCTTCAGTGGCCTCTGTCTCTTCCTCATTCTCTGGGCTGGTGTCCACTGCGTCTTGTGCATCATTATCGTCCTGACAGAAAGAGCCACTTTTCACATCTGTCTAAAATAACACATACAACATCAATAAGAAACATTGAAAACCTCATCTTCTTCAGGAGGAGTAACTTCTGTATTTTCGTCTTCCTGGTGCGAGGGAGAGTCTACTTTAGGGGCCTCCTCACTTGCTTTTTCTGAGTCAATAACACTGTGTTCCTACAATAAAACAATGGAAAACATAAATATATCCGTTATTTTCTAAAGCCTCATTAGCAAAGGCAGTTTGCTTTCTGTACCATATTTTCAGTGCTGTCCTTATTGGCCACTGGATCTCTCTCATTCTCACGTATTTCCTGCTGTAAGAAAGCATAAAATTGAGCCGATAAAGAAGACAAGTTATATACCACATACACTAGATAAATTAGTGTCTCTTTTTGTTAATAAAAGAGTTTGACCTTTTCTTGGTCCACTTCAATTTGACCACTTGTTGTATCATCTTCAGCTGAAAGATTTTCCTCTGCCTCAGCACTTTCCTGGATATTTCCAAGATCATTGCTCGTCATTTCCTTCAGTAATATGATCAAATGTGAGACGAGGGGGAAAAGGGGTATTTGATCTGGAATCCTGAGTAAACTCCTCCCTGCACTTGTCTGTCTCATCTTCCTGGATTCTTCTTCAGGTCTTTGCTTTTCTCTTCACTAAATTTTGCTTTAAAACGCTGTGCTGTACTATATACAAGCAAAAACACACGGTAGATGTTTTGGCCTCACACTCTCTCAAGTCAAATTCTTCTCTCACTTTGCCTCTACCATAAAACAGTAAAGTAACATGGTCACCTTGTCTGGGATTTCTTCATCAGGAATTTTGTCACGTTCTTCTTGCTTGTTGTCACGTTGGTTTAATTCAGTATTTGACTGTTCACCATCTGGTTCATGATCAGTTGTTTTGGCCTGAAGGGGAATTATACTCATGTTTAATTGCCTTTTTAAACATGGATATTTTTTCTAGTTTAATTTACGTTTGCTACACCAGTTAGAAATCTCATCTTTAAGCCTAAACTTCTGGAATGTTCAAATGTTTGTTTTATACAGTCATACTGCCTGAATCAGACTTTGCTCAGTTAGGGTGAAGATGTATTGAATTAGATTAAAATGTAGCAAATTTTCACTTCAATTTTCACTTTTCCTTAAACGTGAACCATGATCCAAATGATTGTCACACATTATTATAATGAACACAATCACCGTATCAGGTAATTCCTCATCAGGCGTTTTCTCCCTTTCCTCTTCCATCTTGGGTTGCTCTAAATCAGTATTTGAAAGTTCAGCAGGGTCTTGATCAATAGTTTTGGGCTGAGGGAAGTGATAGTTCTTGTTATTTGATGTTATTTGCGTCATTCTTTCACTTCCCATCTTGAATATCTGCTAAAATTATGATACATTTTTTTACTTCCCCTTCACGTCTTATCTCAATTCATCTTGAAGTTAGCAACAGACGTTAGATCTGCCTTTGCTTTCTGGAATATTCATTACACTGTCACTTCACTTCCCTTTCTGAAACTTGCTTGCTCTTGTTTGGGTTTTTTTCAATAATATCAACATCACCTCATCAGGGTTTTCTTCATCAGGAGATATTTGATCATTTTCTTCTTGTTTGTCAGGTTGATTTAAATCAGCGATTGAATATTCAGCAGATTCATGATCAGTTGCTTTGGCCTGAGAAGGTGGGATGGGAACGTTTAAATGTGGTTTGAAATGATGCCATCTTCAGGGACTCTTGTTATATCGTTTCACCTCCTCATCTTCATCACTTTGCTCTTCCTCAGCCTTATTCACGTGGTCAACATTTTCCTTCGATGGGATGCTTTGTTCTTCAGTTGTCCCCACAGTATTGTCATTCCCCTCAGGATCAACTCCTTCACTTTCTTTAGTCTGTTCTTTGTTTTCCCCATGTGTCTGATCTTCAGGTTGAACTCGGGTCTCTGGAGATTTGATGGTTAAGTCTGGAGTTGTGCTGCCCCCTTCTGGAGCTGAAAGAGGCCGGTTTTCCGTAGCAGTCACCTGGTAGTAGGACTCAAACATTAATTGAATCAAATTATTTAACAAGCAGTGATTGGAATTTTATTGCCTTGAAAATGTATTTTGTTGCTAAATAAAACCATTTGCGGTACTTGTTTTACCCAGAGCTGTTTCTGTGCGACGGAACGTGACTTAGTAATACTGAATTTAGTTGATTATTGATGAATCTTACTTTTGCCCCAAATGCATACAAAAACAAATTAGATTTAAAGAGATTTTGTGAAATTAAGCAGCACAGAGCTAGAAGTATAAAACTGCCACCATGTTTTTGCTCTCACAATTTCATGCAATAATAAAATAAGCAAGTAACTTATAGAGACATCCATGCATGCAGAAAAATGTGACTCTAAATAGGAGAACTACTTTTAAATCAAAGCAGGAAGGACAAAAAGGCTATGATCACCTCTTCAGCGTCTTTTCCATCATCAGATTGGACTTGGTTTTGGTCGGTTTGGTCTTTTGACTCAGGGATTATAACTGCTGAGCTGTCATCTTCCACCTGTAGTTTTTCTCCAGTCTTTTCTTTTTGTGCGTCATGTGTGGGCATTTTGGACACTTCAGTGGTTGCTTTTAACTGAAATGAGTACTTAAAATGTTTAGGCCCCTTTGCATGTATACGTCTGTATATACTGTATCATTGTGGTGTTTATGCATAAAAACAATAGCAGGATAATAAGCCCTTGGACTCAGTACCTGTTTAGACTTCTCTATTTCCTCTTTGATCATTCGCTCCTCCTCTTGCAGCTTTTTCTGTTCTGATGCTTCTGCTCCGGCTTTGATCAACTCTCTCTCCATCTGAGCCGCTGCAGCCTTTTTCTGAAATCACAAAAGAGACAGGATTAATTATACCACTTGTCCAGATTGGTTTCTGTTTCTTTAAATACATCACTTCTGAAGATTATTGGTTACTCTCACATGAGCAGTAGCTTGATATATGTCATTTATACACCAAAACATTGATGCACACATTACCTATCCCCTCTGTATTTATATATTCAATCAAACAATAAAAAATAGTATAGTACTTTTCAGTAAGACAGTAAACAACAGTAAATTGTTATTGACAAACAAACCCATCCATCTGTTTTCTTCCCATTTATCCATTTCTGGATCGGGGGGTGGCAGTCAGAGCTGCTCCAGTACACACAGCACCAGCCACAAACAAACCCTGCACATTTAATTTTCTTTCATAGTCTGAAACCCCACTTTTGACTCTATCTGGACTATTGTCTATTTTGAAGAATGTTTTTTCTGTCGCAGCTTTACCTCTTTCTCATATTTCACACTGGCCCTGTATTTGTAAAGCCAATGAGCCAGATACAGGATGGGGTCATCAGGGCGCTGCTCAGCCACTTCAGCCAGACCCTCGGCCAAACTCTGTCCCAGGTGAAGTTTGAGGAACTCTGAGTCCATGATGTTTGAGCCTCTGTCTGCACCTGTAAGACAGACATACAGGAATTTTTACAAGTCTCTGCTGCTAGAACACTGTTTGCTAAAACTGGCGTACCTAACTTTGAAACCACAAACAGTGAATTAAAACCCATGTAACCATCCAGTCCCACACTCTCTTCTATCACTGGTTTCACAAGTAGGATTTTTCTTTTCGACAGAACAGTAAAGATCAGCTTTCTGTTTAAAAAATAAAACGTGTTCTTTTGATAAAAGGTTGTCTGTTTTATTCACAACTTACTTTAACAAGACTTTCTGTTGGGTCAAAAAAAATAAACTAAAAAGGTACCCCAGCTTTAATTAGTTCGTCTAAGGTTGGCGTTAGTTCTCACTGGCAGTTAGCATCGTGTTAAGTTTGTAGCGTCAGTCTCCATGGTTACAGCCTGTTCGGCATGTAATCTACACTTGCGTTAAACGAGGACGTTACCTGCAGATAGCGTAAACCTTCCAGCACCACTTTCAGGTGGCGCTGACCCAACGTTAATCTATGAACACAATCAAATCAATTTAATTCAGAGGTAAGAGGCAGCAACAAGGGGGGAACAACTCTGCATCCGGATGTATCTGCGTCGCTATGGAAACTGTGCGTCACTATGGTCACAACATTAAAAGTCCCCTCGCTGTTCTGGAGTGGCTGCATTGATTCATATATATTTTCTATTACCAGCCAACGAATGGAGTCTTTGAGAGTGCAAAAAGCAAGATTGTGCCAATTGTGTGAACGACATCTAGTATACGGTCATATATGGCATACGGTCTGTGAGGGCTTGTTATAAAACACTGAACAGTGTAAATGACCAGTGACTTGTTACTTTGGATTGAAGCATTGTAAGACGCGCCAGCGCCATCTAGTGGTATGTTTGCACATTGCGACACTTCACAATCCTTTGATTATTTATTTATGCTTGGTTATTTACGTGGGTCTTGGGGTAAGTGATTTGATAAAGGCTTTAAATCCTTGACTTCCTGTTACAGTTTCAGAAGGTGATATGCGTGTGAAGAGGCGCCAGCTGTGGTTCTGCGGGGAGCAGAGTCAAAGGTCCTGGGACTGGGACTGGGACTGCCACGGTCCTACCTGGAGCTCCAGTTTCAGTGTGCGACAGTGCGTCAGCTCAGCTGTCCCGGTCCTGCCCAGTGCTTCCACAGGGGGAAGGATTGCGTCTTCAGTGAAAGCTTTACGAAACACTTGGATTCTTAACTCACTTTCTGTGGAATTATTGGGTAAAACGTGAAAGGTAACGTTCATTTATTGTATAGTTATAAGTTTCACGTGAGCCTGCTCAATGTTTTACTTAACATGCACTTTTCAATATTTGCTGTAAGCCTTCATGCTCTCTGTGTATGAAAAATAATATTCACTTTAGATATACACTTGAAGCATGTCCCAAATGGCATTTTGGGCCGAATAATTGATATATTTTGGATTTATAAGGAATATATCATGTAGTTATGCCGCTTTGTTTATGCAGGTCCCCTTACGTTTTGCAATTAATCACATACAAGCCACTTCAATTTCATAATTCTAAACATAAAAAATACACATTTTGTTAAAGAAAGATGATAACTTTGTTCTAATAATATTCTGTCCCTGTAATTGAGCTTAGGTCAAATTTGGAATTGGTTGATTTATGGCTCTCAGCGATGTTTGTGCATGTGTATTTTGTAGCCTATAGCTGTCGGTGTTGCCCTCACAGTAACAGGCCTGTCCTCACCTGGCAGGTGAAACCTTTCACACACTAATGTCTCTGTGGACACCTTCAGTACCACTATTCCTCTGAGCTGCTGAGCCTCTTTATTTTTAGTCCATGTCTTCATGACAGATGGTCAAAATACTATGAGGCTGTGGATGCTTTCAAAGTTTATGTGACCTTTATTGTTTGTCAAATCATATACAAGTGCTTTCAGCCACGGTGTCAGAGGAAATCTTGCCCAAAACCAGATATTTTGTGTTATTTTTCAGTCGGCCAGTGCACCTGCTGCATCTGACAATGCCTTTGAACTGCAGACAGTGGCTTTAGACATCACAGTGGGTGAGATTGGCTTTGACGTTCCCACTTGAAAGAAACAAAGTAATTCATAGAATTTAATATTGTGACTTGATGTACTTCATTCCATCATTACAATGTACTGAGAGGATGATGCAGAAGCGCTTAGACTCGATGCGTAGAGTGCGTGTCTTGCATCACATGCTCTTGGAATCAGAACGTGTTGGTTTTGAGTTTCTTTCACCAAGTGGGCCAATGTGACCTCTTGGCTTTGCATTTGTATTTGCCACGCTTCAAAAGGTGAAATAAGTCTGACCTAATCCTATTTGATGTTTACCCTGATTTTACACTATTCTCCCCTCTGATCTTTGCTTGTAAACAAACACAATACTCTTGGAAGCCCATGTAGAAATTGCATTTTAAAAGGAGTTTTGCTCTAGATCAGCTAGGATCTGTAGTTATTAGACATAAAACCATGTGCTGCTCTTGGAGATTACCCTGGGTCTTCACAGCTCCCTGGTATGTAGTCTCTGAGGCATACCATGAATGACAGCAGCTGTCGTCTTAGCAGGAGCAAAATGTCTTCAGGAATACGTCTCTAAGTACACATCAAGAATAAATGGAGGGTGATTACATAGATCATAAACTGTAATGACTGCTGCAGCTTAGCCCTCGTCATTGTGCATGGATGATACTCAACATGGCTCATGGGTCCCTCAAACAGGTGTAGCGGCCTGTTTTAATGTTCCCCCCTATAGGGTTGAAACACAAGGTTAATGATAGGTGACAGGGTGTTGAAGCAGCAGAGAGTGAAGTTCAGGGAGCGGTGGCTGCGATTTGACCCCGTGAGAAACATAGGGGAATGGGGCCACGGCAAATGTCAAAGGACGTGTGATAAAAGCTCTTGTTTGCTCACTCAATTCGTTGCTTACAGCTTAACTGAATTCTCCACATGGTCAGTGGTTAGTGACATATTGAGATGTTAGTCATGGTACATAAACTCGTTCTTACTTTACATTCAAAATTGTTCTTTAATATAATGGTAAAAGAGTTATTAGTGGTCAGACATTTGTAGGAAGCGTGTGAGTAAATATTTGTGTATTTTTTGACATGTGTCTTGATTGTAAACCACCAGCTGAATCTTCGGTTGTTAGAAGAAGACACATAAATGATAATACAGGCGAACTGTTCATGGGGAGGGTAAACTTTGAGAACACGTTGTGTGTTACTGTAGATGAATTACTTGACTCTGTCACCACCACTGTTTTGAATGTTCTGGATACAATTGCTCCTGTAAAGGCTAAAATAGTTACAAACAAGCAAAAAGCGCCATGGACTAAAGCAGACTCGGTCAGGGCACAGAAGAGAGAGTGCCGGAAGGCCGAGCGGAAGTGGCGAAAGTCAAATCTCAAAGTTGACCATGAGATCTTCAAAGATGCGTTGTGCAATTTTAACAGGGAACTACGTAGAACGAGGGAAATGTACTTTTCTGAAACTATTGAAGGCTGTAGCAACAATCTACGTGTTCTGTTTTCAACAGTAAATAGATTGACGAATCCCCCTGTTAAGATGCCATCAGAACTTACTTCCAAATCTAAATGTAATGAGTTTGCTCAGTTCTTTAATGACAAAGTCCAAGGTATCAAAAACGCCATCACCTCCACGATAGAAATAATAATCCAACCGCCAGTGAGGCTTTTTGGGCTGACGCACTTTACACCAGTACAAATTGAAACTGTCCAGGAGATAATCACTAGTCTGAGTTCCTCCACATGCAGCCTGGATGTATTACCTCCTAGATTTCTCAAGTCAGTTCTGAGCAGTTTTTTACCTTCACTTACACAAATAGTTAATATGTCTCTTGAATCTGGAACATTCCCAATGGCCTTGAAAACGGCGGTCATCAGGCCCCTCCTAAAAAAGAGGAGTCTGGAAGCCCTGGCACTCAAAAATTATCGGCCCATTTCAAATCTGCCTTTCATGGGAAAAATTCTAGAAAAAGTTGCCTATCAACAACTTACAGAATTTTTAATAATCAATAACGCTTATGATATGTTCCAGTCAGGGTTTAGACCCCACCACAGCACTGAGACCGCGCTAATAAAGGTAACAAATGACATCAAACTAAACACTGACGCAGGAAAAGTCTCAGTCCTTTTTCTCAAGGTCAAGGTCAAGGTCAAGTTTATTTATAAAGCACATTTAAAACAACAATGCTGCCCAAAGTGCTGTACACAAAAATACATGTATATAAAATACACAATTTGAATATAATAAAATTAAAATACAGATGCGGAAAAACAAAAATCAACACCAGCAAAGAAAAAAAGTCCTGCTCAGTTTTAATTAAAGGACTTCGCAAACAAATGGGTCTTCAACATAGACTTAAAAATGCCTAAAGACTGGGCTGCCCTAATATTTAAGGGGAGACCATTCCAAAGCGTCGGAGCCGCGACAGCAAAAGCCCGGTCTCCTCTGGTCGACATTCGTGACCTCGGTACGTCTAACAGAAACTCGTTAGCTGACCTCAATGTTCTGCTCGGAGTATGAACAGACAGAAGCTCAGAAAGGTACGCAGGAGCCGTCCCATTCAAACACTTAAACACCAACAACAGCATTTTAAACTGAATTCTGTATTTTACAGGGAGCCAATGTAAAGAGGCCAACACAGGGGTTATATGTTCAAACCTTTTGGTTCCCGTGAGCAGACGCGCTGCAGCGTTCTGTACCAACTGCAGGCGATGGATCGAGCTTTGGTCTAGCCCACAATACAACGAGTTACAGTAATCCAAGCGGAATGTTATAAAGGCATGAATCACACTCTCCAGATCTCTATGTGGTAAATACGGCTTAATTTTACTCAGAAGACGCAGTTGGTAAAAACTTGACTTTACAACTGAACCTATTTGCTTGTCCAACTTAAAAGATCCATCTAGGACCACACCAAGGCTCCTGGCTGACTGGTGACAGTAGCCTTTTTTTTCTGTTAGATTTAAGTGCTGCTTTTGACACTATTGATCATGGCATCCTCATTCAGAGACTTGAGGACTGGGTTGGTGTTGCTGGCACCGCCCTAAGCTGGTTTAGGTCCTATTTACAAGACAGAACGTTTTTTGTGGAGATCGAAAACTGTACCTCAGACCACTTGGCCCTGACCTGCGGAGTGCCACAGGGGTCAATCCTGGGTCCTCTTCTGTTTAATATTTATATGTTGCCTCTAGGTCAGTTGATTCACAGTAATAATGTCTCTTATCACAATTACGCTGACGATACTCAGGTCTATGTGTCCCTGACAGCAGGAGAGCATGAACCAGTGGACTCGCTCCTTCACTGTGTCCAGCAAATCGGTGATTGGATGCAAAATAACTTTCTCCAACTAAACACCGACAAAACTGAAATAATTGTTTTCGGACCTCCAGGCTCTCTCTCTACAACCCTCAAATCAGGTCAGAAATCTAGGAGTGATAATGGACTCAGACTTAAATTTCAAAAGCCACATAAAATCTGTAACATCAGCAGCTTATTACCACCTAAAAAAACATTGCTAAAATTAAAAACATAGTGTCTAAGGCAGACTTGGAGACTCTTATACACGCTTTTGTCTCCAGTCGGTTAGACTATTGCAATGGCTTGTTCACAGGTCTCTCCAAACAGGCTGTAAAACAGCTGCAGTACATTCAACATGCAGCAGCTCGAGTCCTGACCAGAACTAGGAAGTACGACCACATTAGTCCAGTTCTCAGGTCTCTGCACTGGCTTCCTGTTCCTCAGAGAATAGACTTCAAAGCAGCTTTACTTGTGTACAAGTCTCTCCATGGTCTCGCGCCAAGGTACATCCACGACATGTTTGTGCCATATGAACCGACCCGGACTCTGAGGAGCACAGGGACTGGACTCCTGTTAGTGCCCAGAGTCGGTACTAGACATGGGCAAACTGCATTTCAGATTCATGCGGCTAGAGTCTGGAACCGTCTTCCTGAGAATGTGAGACAGGCGTCTACTCTGGCATCTTTTAAATCTAGGCTCAAAACAATTCTGTTTAGCTGCGCATATACAACTGAATGATTTTATCTTTTCATCTTTGTTTTTATCTTTAATCTTTTTAATGCACTGTGACTATTTATGATTTTAGTCCCATCTGTGATTTTAATGTTTAAAGGTTTTTAATTTTTGTGATTTTATTTTTAATGTTTTTAATATATCTTGTGCTCTTAATGTGTTTGATTTATGCATGATGTGATAGGGGATGTGAAGCGCTTTGCGTTGCCTTGTGTAGGAAAGGCGCTCTACAAATAAACGTTGATTGATTGATTGATTGATTGATTTGGTTTCAGCCTGACTGGCCGTCTTATATCTGATGCAGCTGATGTGTGTGACCAAGCAACTAAAAAATCCTTTGATTATGATTCACGATGTGTAATAGGTTCCCATTCATATACTGTAATGTGAAACGTTATGACACATGATAAATGCATGTGGCAAAACAGACACAAAAGTACTCCCAAGTACTAACAGTTCGAGGGAATACTGTGCAAATGTATTTAATCACAGGGTACGGAATACCTGCATTTGAATATATTTAAATATATTTTGTAAAGTAGTTTGTTACAAGGCTGAATCAGAGAAAAGTATTCTGAATACGTTGGTTAGGTATATGCCTCATAATATTATGTAAAATTGCCATCCGGATTAGGACAGATTTGTTTTCTTATGCATGTACTATAGTATACTTTTTAATACTACAAGTACTAAAATAATACAATCTAATACAAGACACACCCACACACATCATACAAAGTAAAGTTTTCATATGTTTTTAATAACCGTTCAAATCTTCAAATGCAGGGAAATGCGTAAGTGACCAGATATGCATGCGAAAGCCCAAGCCTGCCAGAACACAGATGTTAAGCAAGGCATGACATGGTTACTACTGTGATGGGAGATCGCAGATGCCAAAGTACGGCTAAGGCTCTAAAGAGCCCAACTATCATTATGCCTGACGCTCAACACTTCACCCACATGGCCTTGTGTGAGCCTGAATGATCGGTTATTGTCAGAGGTGCAGATGATACAGATTAGTAGCCTGGCTTCAGAGAATCTGCCCCAGGGCAGCTGTGGCTACAGTAATAGTTTACTACAAAATGAGTGTCTTTGAATGTCTATAAAAATGCTTTAAAAGATAAAACAATACTAGGGCTATTCAACATACATCATCGAGTGTGACAGTCAGAGGAAAACGGAGAACAATATTAGTGACACTAACAGAGAGTTCATCTGCCACAGGTGAGTAGGGAAGTCAAAAAGTGTAGCTACTCTTACTTTTTTGTTACTCACAGAACTGAATTTTCACATAATAAAGTTGAGCCAACTTTAAAATAATCCGGTCAAACGGTGTATGGAATTTCTTTTTAAACATCTCTTCTTCGTGCTGCTGTTTGTTTGGTTTGTGACGCCAACTTTTGTCTGAACTGTCCTTATATTTTTTTAAAGTAATTATATTCTGAAAATCAGCTAAATAAAAATAATTGCACCTAAATACAGTTACTTACAAAGTATTCTGGATACATATTCTGAATACTTGTATTTCATTACCCATGCTGTGCATAACACTATAAACTACACCAGAATGACATGGTCTTCTCTGACATGTAAATGTATATGTGCCGTACTGTCAGGAGGACAGTTAGTGGGGACATTCAGAACTTCAAAAGATCCGTGAGCCTTTGGTCCAATGGCTCAAAACATGTGCAGAGTGGTTATCGCAGATGGTGCAGTCTTCGCTCACTGACCCAAAAGGTTGCTGTTGCTCTATAGCTGTGACCAGAACATGCCATATGGTGTTGTGGTTGGGCTGTCTCCCAGCGTCTGCTCAGGTTGCTGCATAATTGCGTGTGTGTGAATGACAGAGTGGCTCTTTGATGTAAAGGGACTTTGAGTGACCAGTGGAGGTGGGGAAGGCGCCTGGTAGAACATGGGGCTTGTGAGGTGGGGGTAGAAGGTAGCACTGAGCTGGGTAAGATGAGTTGGCCATTGGTCCTGTTTTCGGTGGGATGTGAGGCTCGGTGCGAGGGCTCAGCCACACAGGAATGAGCCTAGTCATCGAGCTTCTGAAAGACGACACTAGCTCCTGACGGCCTGCAGCAGCTGAGCAGCCACATTATCTGTGCGAGCGTGTGGCTGCACTTACAACTTTTAATGCTTAATTTTTGTCCGAGGCCTAAACATTATTGGCCTCTTCATCATTTGCGTCCCATGTACTCTTGTGTATTCTTCATTTTGGCTGACAAAGACTGATCACTGTTTCATCGCTCAGGGGAAAATATTTGCTTTGTTTTCCACATATTATTGACATTGTAATTTATCTATTTTTTAAAACAAAACCTTGTGCAGTCGTACTACCTCGAAGCCGATACAAAGCTTTTTTATTTGGTTGCATCCAATGTAAACAAACATTTTTTGGATGAGGAAGTGAGGGCCTGCGGAGGATAAGTAGTCCTATGTTCACAGCTAATGCCATGAGACGGGGTGGGAAAGTGTCTTGTCATTTTGTTTCGATAGAGACACATTTAGGAGCTCAGCAGAAATCCGACATGTGTCTCTGGATGATGGAGGAATGTGGGGTGTGGAGGTGAAACACAGATCAAAGCACAACACTGATGATCACTACCGACGCCAAAGATACACATGCTCAGATCCGGTTACAAACATGAAGCTGTTTACGCGGCCAAACTTAAGAGATATATATTATGACAGTTATGATTAAGAACGATTAAATCCAGATTCCTTCCTCCAGTTTCTTCCAGGGAAGACTCGGTGACTTCTGCTTCGCGATGCGAAGATGGCCATCCTTCTCCCTCCCCCAGGCACCGAACTTTTCCGGCCCTTCACCAGGGAGTCGCTGGAGGAGATCAAGAGGCTCGAAGAGGAAAGCAAGAAGGCAGCTGAAGTAGAGGGCCATGATGAGAAGGAGCCAGAGGGACCTAACCCAGATCTGGAGGCGGGCAAGAGTCTGCCGATGATCTTTGGAGATCCTCCATCTGAGATGCTCAACACCCCTCTGGAGGACATCGACCCCTTCTACAAAGCACAGAAAGTCAGTGTGATCCTATCCCCTCTCAGGATTTTAAACCCATCATTCAACATTTACGTAGTTCCAACATAAAACAAGTATTCTGCAGATATATTGTAATAAGGTGTATGTGACTGTTACATACAAAGCATTTTTGTTTAAGTGAGAATTTTGATCTGTGTCCTCAGACATTCATTGTGATCACTAAAGGAAACACCATCTACAGGTTTAGTGCTGAACCGGCCTGCTACATTCTGAGCCCCTTTAGTCGCGTGAGGAGAGGAGCCATTAAAATTCTCATACATTCATATCCTTTCAAAACATACAACTTTTTTTTACTGTACTGTTTTCTCATGTACTTGTGCAACATGTATTCCTTAATATTGGATTAAATTATTTAGCATGTTCATCATGATCACAATTCTGTCCAATTGTGTGTTCATGACCATGAGCAACCCACCAGCATGGAGTAAAACCGTTGAGTATGTTCATCCCCATCTCTTATCATAAGAATGTACAGTATCTGGTTTCCTATTACTGGTGTTCATTCTGTCATAGGTATGTTTTTACTGGCATTTATACATTTGAGGCGACAGTCAAGGTGTTGTCTCGAGGTTTCTGCATGGGACCCTTTACATTCCTTCGAGATCCATGGAACTGGCTGGATTTCATGGTTATCAGTATGGCGTAAGTTTCCTTTCTATTTGCACCGACCTGATAAAAATGAATGTTAGTCGCTTAAGTGAAAACACCTTTTTCCACAGATACATTACTGAATTTGTTGACCTTGGCAACGTGTCAGCTCTCAGGACCTTTCGTGTGCTTCGAGCCCTCAAAACAATTACTGTGATTCCTGGTAAGTCAATTTTAATGTCTCCCCAGATAGCCCTGATTAAGGCTGGTGATAGACTGAAAGATCAGTGATGGTGCATATTCAATCTAATCCTTTGCTTTGCCAGGTTTAAAAACCATTGTAGCTGCACTGATGCAGTCCGTGAAGAAAATGGTGGACGTGATGGTTTTGACTGTTTTTGCTCTTGCTGTGTTTGCGCTTGTGGGTCTACAACTCTTTATGGGAAACCTGCGGCAGAAGTGTATCCGCTGGCCCCTTGTCAATGACACTACTTTTGACTTCAACTCAACTCAATTCAATTCTACGTCTCTATTCAACGACTCCTTGATATTCGACAATTCAACTTATATCAACAACACGTTTGATTTCACTGGGTACATTGAGAATCCAGGTAAAAAATATCAACTTCATTATAGTTTGTATGTTTTATTTTAAACTTTACAACTTTATTCTCTTGTAGTGAATCAGTACTTTGTGGAAGGTAGTCTCGATGCACTGGTTTGTGGAAACACCTCTGATGCTGGGTATGTTCTGTAATTTATCTTAATGTTTTTGATAACATAGAATAAACCGATACTGGACAAACAGACTGTGAATTATTCCCTATGTTGATAGAAAGTGCCCTGAAGGATATACCTGCATGAAAGCTGGGATGAACCCTAACTATGGATATACCAGCTTTGACTCCTTTGGTTGGGCTTTCCTTGCTCTCTTCAGACTTATGACACAGGACTTCTGGGAAAACCTGTTCCAGCTGGTTGGCCCTTCTTTGATACTGTCATAATATATAAAGTATAATTCAAATGTTAGGGTGTCTAAAGCTTTGTCCTAAGTTCTCGCAGTTTTGTTCACATCTGCCACACAGATCCTGCGTGCGGCTGGAAAGACATACATGTTGTTTTTTGTGGTTATCATTTTCCTGGGCTCGTTTTACCTCATTAACCTGATCCTGGCTGTAGTGGCCATGGCCTACGACGAGCAGAACAAGGCGACACAGCGAGAGGCCATTGAAAAGGAGGAAGAGTTTCAGAGACTGCTGGAGCAACTTAAGAATCAAGAACAGGTATCTCTCATGCAAATGTTCCAAGTATTTAAAAGTCCAGGATCAATGCTTAAGTTACCCTAAAAATAATCATAACCCTAATTCTGGACACATGACCCCAACCCTAACCCTATCCCCTTAATTCTAAACCTATTCCTAACCCTAACCATAGTGAACCGTATTGATTGGATACAAGACACATACAACTTTGACATTGATCCCAGAATCACTAATCAACAACAACAGCTTATTCTTGTACAGCCCTAAATTACAACACCAGTCATTTCAGAGGACTTAACAAAACCATTGAAATCGCCAACACAGATCAGAGAATCAACAGATAAAACACAAAATATACACATATGAATTGGTCCATAGGGAGAGACCAATGTCTATGAATGTTGATAAATGTCCATACATGTTGTAGAATGTTTAATTGTCCTGGATCATCACCACAGTCCTAGTTGGACACTAACTGCCCAACAGACCCTCCTGCATCGGCAAGGAAAAACTCACAAAAACCCAGTGGGGGAAAAAAGTGAGAAACCTCGGGAAGACCCACATATTGAGAGAGGGATCCACTCCACGCAGACGGACGGGTTAATGATCCAGGACCTAAGCTACAGCTAATGATATCAGATGAACCCTATAACCCTCTAATTTTTCCTACTGTCATTATCAAGTTGAACTTAAACAAGAAAATATTTGTATAGCTAATAATGTAATTTTATCAACAGTATATTGAATTGCACAACACATATGTTCAATTCATGTATGTATATGTTCTGTCACTAATACATTTTCTTCCAGGCCCTGCTTCATGGCAGCCATGTATCTCTCACCAGTAAGAAGTCCCTGAGTCAGAACACGGTGTCCGAGGGCCATCAGAGCTCGGATCATGAAGAGATCACCAAGGACTGCAACGGGAGGGTTATTCCACGACTCCTTGTCAGAGCACCCACTATGCTGGAGGTAAACAAAAACACAGCACAATACTTACACTCTGTGAGTATTGTAACTTTTGTCCACTACTTTGAAGCAAATATATGATGTATTTTAAAGTAACATGTTTTGTTCATATTTCTTATAGGTTCCTGAAGATGAGGAAGAGACAAATAAATCTATAGGCTCGGTTCATAGCAGCATGCTTCATGTTGAGGAACCAGGCCTGACAAACAAAACAGGGAGTGTTCTCACAGTGGCTACTATGACAGCCATGGAAGGTATAGCCCTTTTTATATACAATATGGAACAAACAACTGTACTTGTCTATACACTTTAAGTTTGTGTAAGCTCTCAGTCGTACAGGGATTAGTCAAAGCAAAGGAAGGTTTCTCACCCATCATCTGTACTTGGTGATGGGTGAGAAACCTTCCTTTGCTTTGTCTATATACTGTTTATGTGTCTATCCCTTATTCATTGGAGAATAAAGGGTTTCAAAGATTGTCACTAGGGAAAAGGAAATCTTGGTTCTTTTGGGTCATTATTCTCTGTTTAGCATTATTTGGCTTTTGTACAGCACAGTAGCATTATATTCATCAACATCATTCTGCATCTGTAGCCTAGATAATCCCTTTGTGCTTGTCATCATGTTGTGCTTTGGGCTCGTGGCATGAATCTCCATTTAGACCTGGTAATCATCGGCTGTTTAATAAAGTCTCTCAGGATTGCAGTAGTAGCTTCTTGTGCAGCTTGTATTGTATTGACCTCGATGAATGAAAGGCATAAAAGCAAATTTTTACACAATGCTTTGACTGCTGTGTGCCTCTTTTTGTCTAGAGTTGGAGGAGGCACAACGGCCCTGCCCACCCGGCTGGTATAAATTCGCAGACATATTCTTGAAGTGGAACTGCTGTGTGCGTTGGGTTACCTTTAAAGAGCGGATGTATTTTGTTGTCATGGACCCATTTGTGGATTTGGGCATTACCATCTGCATTGTCCTGAACACACTGTTTATGGCAATGGAGCACTATCCAATGACCCCGGAGTTTGACCACATGCTATCAGTGGGCAATTTGGTAATTCACTCTTCTGCTGCAGCTTATTGTTTATTGTATATTATTTTAATTTACATTGCTAATCCTCTATCCCTAGGTATTCACCGGTATCTTCACAGCTGAAATGTTCTTCAAGCTCATAGCCATGGATCCATACTACTATTTTCAAGTGGGGTGGAACATTTTTGACAGCATCATTGTCACTCTGAGTCTGGTTGAACTTGGGCTGGCCAATGTCCAAGGGTTATCTGTTCTTAGATCGTTTCGTCTGGTAAGAACACTGTCTTAAACTGTCTAGGGTTTGCAGTAACTGTACATAATGATTCTAAACTCTTTTGAAACAGCTTCGCGTGTTTAAACTGGCTAAGTCATGGCCCACACTGAACATGCTGATCAAGATCATTGGAAACTCGGTGGGGGCCTTAGGAAACCTGACCTTAGTGCTGGCCATCATCGTTTTCATCTTTGCTGTTGTTGGGATGCAACTGTTTGGCAAAAGCTACAAGGATTGTGTGTGCAAAATCTCAGAAGACTGCGAGCTGCCGCGGTGGCACATGACAGACTTCTTCCACTCTTTCCTCATCGTGTTTCGTATTCTGTGTGGGGAGTGGATAGAGACCATGTGGCATTGTATGGAGGTGGCCGGTCCTGCCATGTGCCTGATTGTCTTCATGATGGTCATGGTAATCGGAAATCTGGTCGTAAGTTTGTTTAACTCTCTTTAACTAATAAGCCATAAATAATACTATAGAGGAGACCACATTATCATACACACACAAACAATGTTTATAGATGACAGTTGTCCAGAAATGATCCTCTGAGATTGTGTGGTCTGTCTCGGAATATTTTTAACCTCTTTGACCCAGGAGGCCAAAGAATCAGTGCCATTGCCTGTAATTGTATCCGGTAGGTCTTAAGATCAGTGTGGCTTGTTGACGTCATGAAATAAATTGTAAATCCAATCACACAACACTGTGAAATTACTTGAGCCAAATCCATTTCCTCCAAAGTTATTCATAGCAGCAGCAAACGAAACTGCTCATGATAATGTGATGACAAAAGTGTTGCAGACTGCCGTGCCGGAAATTTTATAGGCTTTTTTGTGTTTGACACATCACCTAACAGCGTTCAGGGCATGCACACTATTCAGGATGACATAAGTCAAATTTATACCCACTTCATCAGAGACACTTTCTATTTTAAACCGATAACAGGAATAGTAAAACGGTGCTTCTGACCTTGATTACTCATCGAGTTTTGGCTCTTGTGGGCGTTTACCTGCTGCTGCTGTAACAAACCAAGAAAGCCGGCAGCAGAGACCAGTTCAAATGTGATGAACTCTTACTATATATCATATACTGTACAGTTGTCTGAAGTCTACAGACTATGGGGGCAGACAGACTGTTACAAGACCATGAATTGTATCCGTGTATAAAGAAATCTTCGTATCTGGTTTCCACTTATTAATTGCTGAGGCAGTTTGTGGGGTCATGTATGTGTCAGCCTCTTCTTCCAGCCTCACAGCTTGGATTGGAATTCACATGATCGGCCTGCACTGGCTCTATGCCACTGTGATCCATCGTTAAACCAGAGAAAGCAGCACTGTCTTACTCTGATCTAACAGCCTGTATAAACTAAAGATAGCTGCATGTGCATTTGGAGGCAACATAATGTTTACTGAGGTTCCTGCAATGTGTACCTGAAATGTGATGTCATATGAGATACTTTTTGGACGGATATTTAGCGACCAATGGTCATCACTCAGGGCCCAAGAAATTATACCATACTTTAATGCAGTGGCATATTTTTTAAAACCAAACAGGAAATGTGATTTATGCAGCTGGTGTATTTTACAAATAACCAGTGTGCCTTTTTTGTGTGTGTTTATAGTCCTAAAATTCTAATCATTGTTATTTCAATCATGGAAAATAACACATTTGAATTAGTTTCTGCTCTCTGTCAGGTCTTGAACTTGTTCTTGGCCTTGCTACTCAACTCCTTCAGTGGTGACAACCTGGCTCCTGGGGAAGAGGATGGAGAGATGAACAACCTGCAGATTGCTGTTGCCCGGATCAAAAAGGGCATTGCGTGGCTGAAATCCTTCATCATTCAAAAAGTAACGCAGACACTCGAGAGAAAACCAAAGGATCTCGATAGTAAGACGGAGCCGATCGAGATGAATCATTTGGATTCAGCTCCTGCTTTGAAAGTGGCCGATGGGATTCCCAATTGTGTAATGGAGGGACCGTCCACTGTGGGAGAGCTTGGGTTTAGTGTCCCAATTGCAGAGGGAGAATCAGACTTTGAAATCCTTGATGATGACGAAGACAGTGATGAAGATGATGATGACGATGAGGAAACCTCCTCTAGTGATGAGACAAGTGATCAGAAAATATTAGATACGGTAATTATCTAATAATGATATTTCACAAATGTACACTGCACATTATATAATTTGTTCTTTTCTTTGGTTATAGAAAAAAACAAGAACTGAAGATCTTTGGTATCAAGGCGTAAAAGTATGTAACTTACTATTGTTTTTCTTTTTGATCATGGATGGAATAGTAATGTAACTGTATTATTTATACTAGCTACAAGGTGCATTAAGTGGGGATGGGGACTGTTCGGTCTGCAGCACAGCGGATTATCAACCATCAGAGTCTGAACCATCTGAAGTAGAGGAAGAGGAGCCGGATCCAGTGGAACCAGAGGCCTGCTTCACTGACGGTGAAATATTTCACTTACGTATATTACGAATAATCTGGGTCACAGTATTATTCCTTGCGGTACCCCACAGGTGCGTTGGGTATTCTGTACAATCATAAATATCTCTGTAAATATTTATAGCATATGTTATGGCAAAGCTTTGTTAAGATACAATGATCAAAAGCTTTTGTAAGTTGTAATGATGCAAAATGTCAAATGTCAAGATTTTCTTGTTAGATCAAAAAGTCAAACATTTCCAAACTGTTGTATGACTGCCATATTTCTTCCCAAGGCTGCGTACAGCGCTGGCCTTGCCTGTCTGTGGACATCACTAAAGGTGGGGGTAAAACCTGGTGGAACATCCGACGGGCCTGTTTCACTATTGTGGAGCACGACTGGTTTGAAACTTTCATCATCTTCATGATTCTCCTCAGCAGTGGGGCCCTGGTAAGAACTCGTTATTATCGCGGTGGTGTTTCCTTCCTTTCTCTAACTGACTCGTTTGTTCATAGGCTTTTGAGGACATTAACCTTGAGCGCAGACGGACTATAAAAATTATTCTGGAGTATGCTGACAAAGTCTTCACCTACATATTTGTCATCGAAATGCTCTTGAAATGGGTGGCATATGGCTTTAAGACCTACTTTACAAATGCCTGGTGTTGGCTGGACTTTTTCATTGTGGATGTAAGTTTCTGGCTATTTATAACTTTTGTAAACTACTTTATGATTGACATGCATAAGAATGTGTTTTCGTGAATAGAAATCCTGTCACTCTGCCCCAGATTTCCCTGATTAGTTTAGTTGCCAACTGGATGGGCTATTCTGAACTTGGACCAATCAAATCCCTCCGGACCCTCAGGGCACTCAGACCTCTTCGAGCTTTGTCAAGATTTGAGGGAATGAGAGTAAGTTCATAATCATTCATTTCAAGTAAATAATCATAATTTGTCTGTAGTTTTGTGCTACTAATTTGACTGGCTTGTGTTCAAGTTGATTGCATGCCTACTTTGTGATCCGCCTCGGTAAGAGCAATAATTATGTCTACAAAGCTATCACTGTATTTTCACATTGATTAAGTATTTTTCTCGGGTTGCAGGTTGTAGTCAATGCACTTGTTGGCGCCATTCCCTCCATCTTCAATGTGTTGCTGGTGTGTCTGATCTTCTGGCTCATCTTCAGCATCATGGGGGTTAACCTGTTTGCTGGAAAGTTCTACCGCTGCATCAACACCACCACTGCAGAGCTCTTCCCGATTTCTGAGGTTAACAATAAGAGCGACTGTTTGGTCCTGCAAGAAGCCACGCATGAGGCACACTGGGTCAACGTCAAAGTCAACTATGACAATGTGGGAAGTGGATACCTCTCTCTTCTTCAAGTGGTAAGACAAGCTGTATTAAAGCTGGGGTGCCGATCTTCTAACTTTTCATAAATTTGCGCACCAGAAATAGTGTTGTATCGTATTATTGAAAATCAGTAAATATTGTGAACAAATAGAATCATAACAGGTTTTCTTTTGCATACATAAGGAAATATTCAGTTTATTTGCTATTTGCAGTAAAACCTCATTTGAATAACCGTGCATGACTACTCCAGTGAGCCCCAAGAGTTGCCATTTGACGCTTTAGGTAGTGTGATACTGAATAGTCACATTTTTCACATTTTTGTCTGAAAAAGCTGACCAAAAGATGTGACAGAGGCCAAATATATTTGCAGCAATCTTTTATGGGCTTTATTCAGGCTGCATAGAACTGGCTATATACATTTTGGTACCTCAGCTTTAATCATGTGCTATATACAAGAATAAGTATGTTACTGCTATAAATCTTATCATGCAGGCAACTTTCAAAGGATGGATGGACATAATGTACGCTGCTGTTGACTCCAGAGAGGTACTTTTTATGAACACATTGTAACAAATATCAATTCTAACTATTCTGTCCTTTTGGTTTGAGGTACTGTTAAACAGGACTTAATATGTTTGTTTATGGATGTATTTTCAGCCAGGAGAACAGCCTTCATATGAGATCAACCTGTACATGTACATATACTTTGTCATCTTCATCATCTTTGGGTCATTCTTCACACTCAACTTGTTCATTGGTGTGATTATTGACAACTTTAACCAACAAAAGAAAAAGATAAGCATAAATAATATATTTGTTTTTCATTAATAATTTTGTGGTCTATATCTACATATTTACATAAGTGCCTTGAATGATGAGGCTTTTCTATGTTTGCACTTTGGAGATAAGGACATCTTTATGACAGAAGAACAAAAAAAATACTATGAAGCCATGAAGAAATTGGGATCAAAGAAGCCACAGAAGCCAATCCCACGTCCAACAGTAAGTGCATGTTTCTGCCCTGGATACTGAATGCTACTTTACTTATTATGAATGCGAGGAAAACCATAGACCGTAGATGGAGTGGACTAACAGAGTGCTGACATCACTCATAGTGTTTGCCTTATCGCAGAAAAGGCCGATTAGAGCTATCAAATAGCCTTTTATTAGCTAGCTGGCGGGAATCTGAAGAAAAAGATGTAAGTAGCCATGACCAAGCAATCAAGAGCCAAGAACAATGCCAGACTGGCCCCTCTTGCGCACTGGCTCCAAAGGAGCCAGAGCGAGTTGGAGCAAAACGTCATCCATGAGCACTTCCTTATTGTGCTTCATTGAGCTACGGGTTTGGTATTGTATACAGTCGACGGCATTGTGTGACTTGAACTGCTCTTAACTGAGCATTAAGTATTTCTGTACAAACCTCACTCATGTCCCCTCTCCCATCCTTTGACCCAGAACCCAATCCAGGGTCTCGTGTTCGACTTCATCAGTAAGCAGCCGTTTGACATCTTCATCATGGTGCTGATCTGCCTCAACATGGTGACCATGATGGTGGAGACGGATGACCAGAGCCCAGAGAAGGAGGACTTTCTGTTCAAAGTCAACGTGGCCTTCATCGTTGTCTTCACTGGAGAGTGTGGGCTGAAGCTGATCGCTCTCAGACATTTCTTCTTCACAAATGGATGGAATGTTTTTGACTTTGTTGTGGTCATTTTGTCCATTGCAGGTGGGTTTAAAATATTGTGAAAAAACATTGTGTCACAAAGCATTTTTACATTGTTGATGTGATTCTTGTTCCCTCCAAATACAGTGAGGACAAAAACAAGATCCAGATCTAATCCCTCTGTGTTTCCTTTCTCTCAGGAACAATGCTCTCGGACATCATCGAGAAGTACTTTGTGTCTCCCACACTGTTCAGAGTGATCCGTCTGGCTCGAATTGGCAGGATCCTGCGCCTGATCAAAGGAGCCAAGGGAATCCGGACGCTCCTCTTTGCTCTCATGATGTCACTCCCAGCTTTATTCAACATTGGCCTTCTTCTTTTCCTCATCATGTTCATCTTTTCTATTTTTGGCATGTCCAACTTCGCCTATGTCAAAAAGGAAGCAGGGATTGATGACATTTTTAACTTTGAGACTTTCGGAGGGAGCATCATCTGTTTGTTTCAGATCACCACTTCTGCAGGTTGGGACGGGCTTTTGCTTCCGATGCTGAACACGGAGCCTCCTGACTGCGACCCAGACTTTGAGCACCCAGGCACCGACGTCAGGGGCAACTGTGGCTCCCCGGGGATGGGCATGATGTTCTTCTGCAGCTACATCATAATTTCCTTTCTGGTTGTGGTCAACATGTACATCGCCATCATCTTGGAGAACTTTAATGTAGCCCAGGAGGAAAGCGGCGATGCGCTCTGTGAGGACGATTTTGAGATGTTTAATGAAACGTGGGAGAAGTTTGACGTAGAGGGATCCCAGTACATTGAATACAGCAGACTGTCGGAATTTTGTGATGCTTTGCAAGAGCCGCTCAAAGTCGCCATGCCTAACCGCTTCCGTCTCATCGAAATGGACATAGCTCTCGTCACTGGAGACAGGATTCACTGCATTGATGTGTTATTAGCTGTTACTCAAATGGTTTTAGGAGACACTGTGGAGATGGCAGCCATGCGAGAAAGTATTTTGGCAAAGTTTGCTCTCAGTAACCCCAAGAAAGACACGTTTGCTCCCATTGTTACGACTATACGTCTCAAAGAAGAACTACAGTCCACCGTGATCATACAGAGAGCTTTCCGCACGCACTTGTTGAAACGCTGCATACGCCATGCTGCCTTCATGCATCGCTCTCTGAGGATAGAGAGGAGGGATGAAGACAAAGAACCTCCGGAAAAAGAGGGGCTTTTGGCGCGGAGGATGGGAGTCCTCTATGGCAGTGACCTGGAGCTTGCGGAGGAGATGGAGCGGGTGGATTTACAGACTTTAGTGGAGCAGCAGCCTCCACAGACTCACAGAGACTCAGAAAGCCCTGAGCCATATCAGCCTAATCTCTTAGTTGTGCCCGTGGAGATTACCAATGAGGTGTTGTTACATTCAGCCCCAAACAATTACTCATATCCCCACTTTGAAGACTTAAGGGAGTCCATTGTATAGCAGATGGGAGAATGTTTACAGAAAAGGAGTCTCCTCTAAAAATATCTAGTTTTAGAGGTTAGAGATACCTGTTGTGTTAACTGTAAACAGATCTAATGTGCTCCAGTGCTTCTGTCCCAGGGATGGACAAATACATACAACATTACATTAAATATCATAAAGTAGCAAACAAACACACAATTGTAAACTCTCTCTCCCAATACGGGTTTGTAAATAGACATTGTTATTTGATCGTTTTAGCAATGTACAGAATGTGACCAGTGTGAAACTGTTGAGTCATTAGTGGCCTTGGTAAACGAATGCAGTCATTTAAATGACTGCTGACAAATTGAGTAACAAGCTGATTGGCAGAGCTATCATGAAGAGCCAAAGGCCCAGTTTATATTGCACTATTAATACCTACGTATGCCTCCAAGTCCAGCTCAAACAATCTTCAATAAAATACTTATTCGACTATAACTGTGACATGAGATCCATCGTCTGTTTAAAAGGCTTCACTTCTATCGTCTTAACTATTCTGCATTTTCAAGTACTTTCAAGCAGTTTACTTTGTTGTTTCTCACTCCAGTTATTAGGAGAATATGAAAGGTTCTTCAGAAACAAATCCAGCTAAACCAGAGCATGTACCATGTACTGCTGTGTACTCCTATGTTTACATTTATACATTTATAATTCAGAGCCACAGACACCGCTGACTGCATCACACTGTTCCAGTATCGCAAATGTGTATATTTTGGCATTGATCATTTTGATCTGAAGTGGTAGAAAAATACAAAGACAAGGAACTTGTTATTGACTGCCCTCTAGTGACTGTCTTAGGACACTGTCCTTATGTTTGCTCTACCTGAATGTTTACAGTCATACCAGTACAAACTGGTTTATTTATAATATTACTTATCTAGAAAACCAACCAGCAGAAAACGGTTAATTCAGTTTTCCCAGTTTTACGTCTTCACTATGTCCTAAATACAATGAGTTCATCAAAATGGAGCTTTAGCTAATTCCAATCAACCCAAATCTTATTTTCATTTTTTTTAATTTGCAGGTTTATAGTGTGTGGTTTTATAGTCTTCCATTCCAAAAAGAGCCACGCCTCCTCGTGATGCAGTGTAGAAAAGAGCTGTGGCCAGAGGTGCTCCCACTTCAGAGTGTAGTGAGTCTGAACAACATTATTCACATTTCACCAAATATTTTTTAAACTGACGATTATTATTGGGCATCATCGTAACATGAATCTTTTATCCATCGCTGTGCACTGGATTTGTGCTGCATACTGTGGACTGGCTTTGCTCCGTCTTACAGGTAATTTATCACATCTGATTTATCATCAGAAATTAGGAATATATTTCAAACTACTTTTGGAACGAGTTACAAGACTTAACTAATTATTCTTATGTTTATACTCGTTTGTGGTGAGACTGTTCAGTCACCTATGACAGTTTTGCATGATGTTGTTGCACAGTGCTAGATTTCCTGGCCATCTGGAGAAAAGGGGAAGTGTTTTTTTGTGTGTGCCTTTTTAAAAAGTAGCAATTTTTAATGTATATTAAAGCTAAAACTTACAGCAGTGTTTCTCAAACGGGAGAAGTTCAAATATTTTAACTTGTAATACATGTTTCAAAAGGTTAATTTTGCCTGAATATAAAACAATCAGAATAATTATATCACAATTAATCATATCTAATAAAACATTTACTGTATGTTTGAGAGGTACAGTAAAGCTTTAGGTCACTTAATTAAGAAATTTGTGTAAAAATCACCTTTGGTCAAATTAAGTAAAAGTACAAGATATTGTTTGGTAAAAGAACTGTTATCTGAACTTAGAGGCATGGGTAGCTACACGGTACACTGGATGAATTCAATTAGAAGCATGATTGAGCATTCCTTCATTTGAAGCATGGCTAATCATAATTAATTTATTCACTTGGAAACATGGCTAACCATAATGAATGAAATAACTTCGAAGCAGGGTACGCGTAATTTATGAATTGGGAACACTTTTTCCTTATGTACAGGTATATTGTGTATTTATTTACAAAAAGTGATTAACCTTTTGTTTGAAATGTGACAAAGTTTGGTTATAAAGGAAGGAGTAAACGTAAAAGGTTCTAAAAAATAAATAGTCTGGTAAAATACAGATAGCAGGAAAAAACCTTAAGTACAGTACAAACAAATAGTTTATTGCCATCTCTGAGAATTAAGGCGTGAATGAAAGAAGTCGCTGCTTTCCTGTTGAAGATTCTGCCACATGAGAGTTTTAATTGAAATGCTCCCCATTACAAATATCTATCTCCATGGAAACCAGACCGTGAATCCAAATGACAGGTAAGCAGCAGTAGATATTTAATGAGAGATGCATTTAAACTAGCAGGTATCATCTTTATAGTGACTACACCTCTGCAATCAACATTTTCTTGCTTCTGTTTTTCTTCTCAGAGGCTGGGACCAAACCCCTGCAGATTACCCAGAAGCCCCGGTTCTACGGCGTCATGACCGGCAAGAAAGTGGGAATTTACTGCATGTCTTCCGAACAGCCCCTGCCCTCCACCGCCCGCTGGTACAAGGCCTCCACGTTCGACTCAGAGAAGTCCCTGGTCCGGGCCGGGAGCAGGATATTTGTCCGAAACACAAATGAGACTGAGAACGCCATCCTCATCCTCAGTGATCTGCAGACGGAGGACCAGGGCGTGTACTTCTGTGAGATCAGCCAAGCGTTCGGAGCCGGGACTGAAGTGCAAGTGGCCAGTGAGTGACGCATGACTGGACATATTTTATTTATATATTTATTTTTGTTCAGAATCAGAATCCTTTTATTGCCGTGTGAGTAACAGGAAGTCACAAACTATAGAAAATTGCTTTGGCTCTCGGTGCAAACAAGTTAAAGCAGAATAAAATCAAAGGCATGCATAAATAAAAATCTATACATTTCTACAGGTCCATTTTTTTATGGTAATGCAACAAAATATCACAATAATCCAGCAAATACAACAGAAATACGTTGATGAAGATGATATGAAGCCTGAGACTCCGACAACAGCAGAATGTTTCACAGATAACACTATTTAAAGCTTTTCAAAGCAAAACAAATTGAACTTTGTAATAAAATCTCACTAGTTTCTCACCCTCATAACGGTTTGGAACTTATTCGTTTTCACATGCATGTATTTTTAGCCTCTGTCACATCTTTAGATCCGTTTTTAAAGACAAAAACTTCTGTTGTGGTCTGATTTGTTCACACAAGTTAACTTTAAGTATCCTCCTCTTGGGGCAAACAAACTTGGTTGAAAAAAAAAAAATAGATCAATTTTTTTGTTGTTGTTCCATCTAAATGTTGTTGTTTGGCCCGGAATGTTCTATCTTCATTAGAGACAAGCAGATTACTTCACATGATTAAGTTAAAAGTCATACATGCACCGGCCCAATGTAAGAATGAAGGTTTTTGAGGTATAATGTACATTTTTTATATCATACTGAGGTACATCTCATCTAAGTATCTCCATGGCAACATTAGGATAACAAAGACCATCAGAAAAAGTTGCGCACTCCCCCTTTAGGAAGCTTTTAGAATGGGTATTTATGTGTAAGTTGCCAGATATTTCATTAAATTATTCCATTCAGTATTTCAGGTGCAAATGAAGTTATACAGCTGCTATGTCCTAAAACAATTGAGCAACAACTGTGCATTGAATCTGACTTCCATCCAGTTGATACAAATCTGTTTTTTTGTCTGCATTTTTCATTTATACCTACAGTATATCCTTATCAATCTTACATACACCTATCCAATCTGTTGTTATTAGTGCTGTTCTTGCGCTAAACCCAGCCGTATAAAACTACTTAACAATCATTTATAATACTAAAAACATACTATGAGGATTGTACGTTGTGTATTTGCAACCCTTGTGCAGCTCTTTTACGGCAGTCTTTCTCGTGTCCAGGACCGGTGAATCGAGTCCAGACCAGAACTAGGAAAGTACGACCACATAGTCCAGTTCTCAGTTCTCTGCACTGGCTTCCTGTTACTCAGAGAATAGACTTCAAAGCAGCTTTACTTGTGTACAGAGTCTCTCCAGGTCTCGCGCCAAGGACATCCTATGACATGTTTGTGCCATATGAACCGACCCGGACTCTGAGGATCACAGTGAATCTGGAACTCCGTTAGTGCCCAGAGTCGGTACAAGACATGGGCAAACTGCATTTCAGATTCATGCGCTAGAGTCTGGAACCGACTATTCCTGAGAATTGTGAGACAGGCGTCTACTCTGGCATCTTTTTAAATCAAGCTCAAAACAAATCTGTTTTACTGCGCATATACAACTGAATGATTTTCTCTTTTCATCTTTTGTTTTTAACTTTAATCCTTTAATGCACGTGACTATTTAAGAATTAGTCCCATCTGTGATTTTAAGTTTAAAGGTTTTTAATTTTGTGATTTTATTTTTAATGATTTTTAATATATCTTGTGCTCTTAATGTGTTTTGATTATGCATGATGTGATAGGGGATGTGAAGCGCTTTGTGCGTTGCCTGTGTAGGAAAGGCGCTCTACAAATAAACTTTGATTGATTGATTTGATTGATTGTGACAAAGGTTCGAGCTATAGCTGCTAAATCCTAGATTTAGTCAAAGGAATAAATCCATAGACACTGATTCTGAGCAACAGCCCTGCATTTCACATAACCAGCATGTACTAACTAAGCCCCATGTGCCACTAGCCGCCCTCAGTCATTTTAACCTCTTAACACCCGCCTCATTTTGGCTTTGTGCACAAAAGTTGGGCATACCCAAATGTCCATTGCATATTTAAAAACACATCATCATCCTCACATGCTTGTGTGATGCTCAATTTTAAAGCTAGAGCCATCTAGTTAATGTAAAAAAACACTAAATATTGTTTTGCCATTCCCATTTCCCTCTGCATCCTTTGAAAGTTTGGGAAAAATATCCAATTTTTTAGCAATTCAATTTCTAAAGGCCCTAAAAAAGGGCATACTTCATTGTAAGTTCACACTATTCAAACCTGAGTCATTGTTTGTTGACAACAACTGTCAAAGGTTTCAGACTTCTAAGTTTGTATAGTATTAATGTCAGTATCTCCTTTTCATCAAGTAGTGCACATTTGGCAAATATCTTTTGCTGACATTTAATCATCATAAAAACAATATTTTTTTATTATTGGTACTGTAATAAGTTACTAATCTAAGTATTTTTTTTTTTTAAATGCCAAAAGATATTTTTTATGAGTGTAAATTCATTGCAGCTTCAAGAGCGTCTTTTGCAGCCCATTACGCACAATTTCTACAGGCACAACATAATACAGGACCCCACAGTACCCACCCCTTGCTTCAAACAGCATTCCTCATTGCTACACGGACATGTCAGTCAAAAATCCCGTAAAATAGAAGCAAACAAGTAGGGAACACAACAAAGATCGTGATCCCATGCTCAAACAGCAGCCGCAAGCTGTACTCACGGGAGCCATGCAGACCAAATATGTGTTCTAGCTTTCGGAGTAGTCCACATTTGAAAGATAAGGGAGCTAAGTAACACGTAGATACCAGATGATTGGGTGAAAAACAAAGCTAAAAAAGTCCGTTAAAAAGGTGTGAAAGAATAACATCTGTGCTCATTTTTTTTGTTTTTTCGCTAAAGATAAATGCCATTTTGGATTATTTCTGCAGAATGGATTTTACTTTGGGTAATACAAGTGGATATAATTTTTCCTTTATGGATGTTTCCATAGAGAATGATGTATTGCAAGCTGGGAGTAGAGCTGAGTTATTTGTACAGCACAAGCCCAAAGGGTAAAAAACTAATTTCGGACTTGATTTATTTTTGTGCCACATTATTGTGTTTATATCTTTGAGTCCGAATATCACATGCCAATTTGCTCAATCAGGACCAACTTTTTGAGATACAGCCATCGAAAAGGAAGGTTACCTCAACACCTCACTTACATTCTTAGCAGTTTTCCGACTATTTCGTCCTCAATCCAAGGACTTCATCAGGGGAGAATTCTTTAACAGGCGCGCGCGTTGGAGATTTATAACCTACGGGTGTGTTAGCCACACCCTAAACCAGAAACCAACTCATAACCAATCTAGGTCTTTTTTTGATTAAGAAGGGAGACAGGTCTAACGACCCTGCTGAGGCTAACGACCCTAACTCAATAGCATGTGACAGACCTTGACCCAAAAAACTTGCTAAGAATTACAGATGATGGGTGTAGAAACCTTCCATTGCTTTTGACTAATCCCTGTACTACTGAGGCTATAACACAAACATACAGACATAGTTTTACGATTACCGTACGTCTACGTATTATGAATTCTGCTTATCAAATTTGATGGAGAAATACAAAACTGAATGACTTGGATACGTTAACTTTTATTCTTGAGGAAAACGGAAAAAACGTCAGGGTTTCTCAGCTGACGATCCGCTAAATTAGTTTTTTACGCAAAATTGATTTAAAAAAATATTTCTGTAGCAAAATCCCAGACCTTATTGAGCAAAACCAAGGTCATTTTCGACTCCGAGTCATCAAAAATAGTCTAATTCAGCTAGGAAAACCTTGGACAATTTATAAAAATAAATTTTTGTTACCCAGTGTAACAAGTAGTTAAAGAGGTTCTCATACCCCGCTCCTCGGAGCTTACGTCACTCACATTTCCTGTTCAAATCTTCCCTCTAAATAGGCGTAGCCTGGAGACAAAAGGGCGTGAACGAGACTGGCCGTTTACATTGCTCTGGCGGGTGGCCTGCTGACGTCAGGTCTTTGCATCAGACGTCAGGGTCTTGTTGCCGCGCCAGTGGTGGCGCCAGATTCCACAATTCAATCGTAGTAATACAGGTCGCCAGCAGATGGTCGCCTCACAGACGGTTTTTAGGCAGAAAATTTAACTTTCAACTAATATTGCACCAAAGAGACAACAATTATGACCAGGATATGTATAGACAACACTATTGGACCCAAAAAACACCCCTCCAATTTAAATACCGTTCTTTATCAGCAAAAAAAAGTGGATTTGAGGGTGAGTTGTCCTTTAACAAGTCTGGTGAACTAAGAGTGGTCCCCTCTTACAAAGGTTAGGACACCCCTGACATAAACAGCTGCAATTTAACAAAACTCACAGTGGTCAAGATTACCACAGTGGTAACACATTGAGCTGTTGTAATTTATTTCACAAATGCCACTTTCAGAAATCAATATCTAATTTTCAATTAAGCTTTTGTAGTAAAACAAAGTATTATTGTGGCGTCTCACCTGCATGTGAAACCTCTAAAGAGACCTCTGAATGCCAAGCGGGGCAGAACTAGGTAAGTAACTGTGATGGGAGACATCTGGGAACACCAGGAGCCACAGTGGGGCACTGTAAAGTGCCAAACATGCTGCGAGTCCTTTAGTAACACACTTCACCAACCATTTCCTGGAAAGAGACTGTTGAGTGTGTGAATGTGTACGTGGTGGACAGAGGGGCTTGAGGCACAAACTGTTTGTCTCTCGGTCTGCTCCAGGGCAAGCTGTGGCTACTGTAATGGTTTATCACTACAGTGTAATGAAAGGAATTAATAATGACATGTACAGCTCCAGTGTCTTTGAATGGTCCGGAAAGAGGTATGCAAAACCAATGCAATCAAACTTTAGTTTTTTTTCTCGAACTCACCAATCATTGTCTGAGTAAAAAGAATATTAAATGCTGTAACTGTCAAACACGTGATTACCGCTGAAGATGCTTTAGGAGACAACAATCTCG